TTCTGGGGATATCAGGATAATGTGCTTTCTCAGGTTAGCATTCTGTGATTCGAGGAGGCCCAAGAAGGGGACTCTGATTGGAAGAGTAGGCAAAATTAGAGGACTCGGCAAAGAAGGCTGAGAAAGAAGGAAGTGGCCACATAAACCAAGAAAAGGGAATTTGTTTTTAAATGGCAGGGAAACAGTTCCATTTCTAGTAACACAGTGGGCTAAAATGCCAATTTCAATATATATATATTTTTTAATTTCAAGGTATGGATAAGCTAACAGGAATTCCCACAGAGAAAGTTCCAAGGAACATTGAGTGTTTATATTAGTGTGCTATTTTATGTTAGTTTGCTAGTTTACCTCAGACTGGAAGGCTAAAACAACAGAAATGCATTTTCTCACAGTTCTGGAAGCTAGAAACCTGAGATCAAAGTGTTGGCAGGGTTGGTTCCTTCTGTGGGCCATGAGGGAACGATCCGTTCTAGGCCCTCTTCTTGGCCTGGAGGTGACGGTCTTCCCCTTGTGCCTTCCCTCCATACGTGTCTGTGGCCAAATTTCCAAATTTTATAATAATAAAGCAAATGTTGCATCACCCCCATTATAAATGTGTGACATTCTTAGTAAATTTGAAGCCCCTAGTGAAAGAGAACAGCATGAGGTCAGCCTCCAGCTGACCTGCTTATACTCCATGGTGATGCCCCTAGAAGCTTCCCACGCCTCCCTCATCAGGCCGCCCATGGCCCATCCACCTAGAATCTCCTCTCCTGCTATGATGGGCCAGAGAATTTATCTGTCCAGGGGGTCAGATTAACCTCTGGGACTGATGGGAAGACTGTAGCCATCTCTCAAGTCTGAGCTTCCAGAAACAAGTTCCTTTGTAGTGGGCCCACAAGAGATCAAGGCCAAACCTTTGAAGGAGACCTTTGAAGAGGGTGGGCCTTTTGCTCATTTCATATTTAACTTGAAGGTGATCACCGGAAGGGATCGTATCATCTACTTCTGTTTGCAGTCGGTTCATCCAGTTTCCTGAGATACCACGTCTGTTACCCCATGAAGAAATGAACTGAGCTGTTTTTCATTTCAGTTTTGAGTGTAATGAAACTTTTCATCCTGCTTTAATGTTGTTACAGAAGAATTCTAGGCACCTTATTATAGATTCATTCTTTTTAAGGCATTTTCCCGGTGCCTCCAGCACCAGCGGAGGGTACTGGCCTCATAGATATTCAGTGTGAGCGAAGCTGGCTTCTAAAGAAATCAGTGGAAGGCATCAGTGCATATTTGAACCTGAGTTAGGGTTATGTCTGCTTGGTTCATTTAGTGATCTGATTCTTAAAAAGAGTCTATTTGATTTATCTGTGTGTTCATATTAATTAAAATCCCCCAAAGCTAGCTACATCTACTGAAGACCAGACATTAAAAGAAATGAACTTGAAAAAAACCATCCTGTTTTGAAAGTATTTCTAAAGGGCTTTGAAACTGATTACAAGGGAGATTTCACAGCCTACCTGTTTGGCCGTCTTTCGAAGAGTATGTAGCAGTGGGGACACCTTCTGGAGCTTTTATAGAAGTGGCCATTTCTCACAGAAATCCCTCTGGAGAGCTTCATGGAGATTCTGGGTACATTCCTCCACTACTCGCCTTACAACAAAACTCTTTGTGGGAAGTCACTTCAAGGCAAGGTCAGCTGTGGCTTGCTTTTCCTTACCTAGATTACAATCAGGATGGAGCCCTCATCGTCAAAAAAAAAAAAGGTTCTAGACAATACACTGTATGTTCTTTATGTTGTGGCTTCCAGTTACCCCTAAAGTGAAAAATCCTGCAAGTCACTGCCATGGGCCTGGCGTGGCAGAAGTAACCAAGGAGAAGCCCTTACCCGTTAAGGAGGTAGACCACCCAGCAAAGTTGGTTAAGAGTGCGAGCTTTGGCGCCAGGCTAACTTAGCTCAGCCACTTACTAGCTCTCTGAGCTTCAGTTTTGGGTAACTTGAATTTCAGCTAATCAGTGATGTGTGCCACCAACTTCCCCCTTAGCATAGGTGACCATTTGGAAGCATTCTGGGACATAATCAAGTCAAAGGGCTAAGGCAGGCTGCTTTCATAATGGGTATGTGTCTGCAGTTTGCTTACCTTTCTCATGTGGCAGAGCTGGGACGAGCTGGTAGGGAAGGCACTGAGCCAGCCCCATCTGTCATTTGCTTCCCAACGTGGGAGGTTCAGCAACTGTAAGACCACAAAGCCAGGCAATAAATAAGGAAACGTGGCTGGGACTTTGTGCCTAGAGGGGCTCAGGAATTTGCCTGCTTTTAACATGACTTAAAGCAATGATTATAGTCTCCACTTAGAGATAGAAAACGGGGGCCGATCTAATCTGGAGCAGGTTTGTGATGAGTGGAGGTAGAGGAAGGGAGGGAATTCATCTGAATCCCAGCAATGAAGGTGTTCCCCGCTTAGCCCCAGCGCAGGAGCAGCTCAGGGCATTGGACTTTTACCCCGACTCAGGCACCCTGCTGAGTGTTCTGCATATTAAGCCTCAAGCAATCAGGTGAGGAGGACTCCATCACCAACACAGTACCCAGGTCACATAGTGTGTGAATGGGGAAGCCAGAGTTCAAACCCAGGCTGTCTAACCGCCCCCGCCCCAGCCTTGAACTGAACCACTGTGCACTCTGCACGTCTGGCCATCAGAGCACTTGTATCCTGAATGATACCCATTCATATGTCTCTGACTCCGACCCACTGGCCTCTGAGTCCCTTGAAGCAAGATTTGGCCTTCTTATCTTTGGAATCATATAATGCTGCGGTCGTCTCCCTAGAAACAGAGCCTGAGATGGTGATTCTTGGGCAGGTGCTTTATCAAGGGAGGCTCTCCGGAGAAACTGTAAGAGAGTAAGAAAAATGACGCAGGGTGACGGGAGAACTAGGGGATCTGCCTGGCCGCATGGGGAGCTCTGGGGCGTAAATTGCCTCTGAGTTTGTTGCACGTAGAGCCCTCACTCTCATCTAGCCATCCTGGCCTGCAGTTTGCACCCTAAGGGGAAGGAGGGCATAACCTTCCAGGCAACTCCCACTGAGCCCGAGAAAGGGGAGCCAGCACCCAGAGCACCTAGTGAATGGGTGCATCGTCCTGGTGAAAGAGACCTAAGCAGTATGCCAACTGCAACCGCTACAGCAGTTATTTTAAATTTATATATACAGCATATGAGCCAAACAAACACCTTTTTTCCAGCCAGTGGTGTTTTTCACCCTTCCTAGGGACGCTCCCAGAATCCAGGTGCAATGAATCATTGGATTAGAAGTCACTGTGTCTACTGCAAGGCTGCTCCCCACCCCACACACGCGCCCCCACTCCACCCCGAGACCCAGGCTGCCTGTTCCAACGCCAGCACATAACCAACACACACCCTTCGGTCTCCACATATCATCTGAACCGCGGCACAACGTCTTAACGGCAACACAAGCGTGTTCGGGGGCGTTATTAGGATGCAGCCCTACTTCCAGTGAAGGGAGAACAGCAAACAAGACTGGTGAACTTTTTAAATCTGCAGCACAAAAGAGGGTATTGATCCTAACTTACCCAAGAGTCGGAAATAAAATAGGAGGAGGGAACTGCTGGGCCCAAACCAGTGTGATCGACGGACAGGGTGTCCGACGTTCACGTGATCTGTCACAGCTAAAGGGAGGGTTTCTTCCCTGGATGCTCTGGGGACGCTAATATGGGGAGCTCTGGAATCGGAGCAATACTGATTTTCCTTGTTTGCTACGTACTCTCTCTTAAAAATAACTGAACTTAATCCTGTTGGGGTCAGCATAACAGGAAAGTAATCATCGGGTCCTGAGGGTACAGTGAAATCTGATCCCCCCAAACCACCAACATTCTATTTCAATTTTTTGGAGCAGGTTTTTTATTTGAATGGTAAATTAAAGCCTTCATTATGACAGAGGTTTCACATTCTCCTGTGGCTCCATCTGTTAGCAGTAGGGCTGCTCTCCCAGTCTCCTTTGTTTCCTCTCACTTCCAGTTGTTCAGGTATCATGATCAACGGAGGTGTTGTTTTTCCTCAGGTCTGCAGACATGCCACAGCTTTGAAGTTTTCCTTTACAGATATTCCCATATGCTTTTTTTTTTTTTTTTCCATTCATCACACCATCCCAGGAGTGTGCACATGTTGGATGAGAGAGTGCTGTTATGTGGGGCAGCTCGGCAGAGTCTCCCCAGGCGTCTCCGCTGACCTGGGGTGATTTAGTGAGTGCTCCGAATCGTCCTCTGCTGATTTGCACTGTCCCTAGCTGGGAAGGCTGAGTGATAGCCTCCTATTAATTATCAGCTCCAGTCCTTGGCCATCTTGTTGCCATTCCTACCCACCGTGGGTCCTAAATCTGGCTGTATATTAGAATCACCTGGGAATGCTATTAAAAATCTAATTCCTGGGCCCTGTCTGAGACCTGCCGAATCAGAATTTACCCAAGAATAGGGTTCAGGAATCTTTATTTTAATGAGCTTCCCAGCCCCCAGCCCAACATGGGCCTTCAGCCGAAAATGGTGTGGTTTCAGCCTAAGGTAATGTCAACTCAAGACAGCGGCCCTGGAAAAAACCAAAATGGAAGCTCATGGAAGAAGATGAAATGAGCTTTTGTGCTCTTCTCCAAGGTCTTAGGGAGTGGGGTGGGTGGGGATGCGGTGGAGGTGCAGTGCAGCCCTGACTGGTGCTGGTGGCTGCTGCTCTTTTTGTAACGCAAGTGCCTGACTTAAGCTTTGATTGCCGATGCATCTGCTTCAAAGAGCACGGCTTCAGAGGCAGCGACCTCCGATAACCAACAAGGTCAGCCATCCAGCGGGGTGGGGAGCCAGGCTGCCTCCCCGCACCGACATTCCTTCGATTTCGAAAGCTTGGTAGATTTGGATAACTGACCATTTGGGCTCCTTGTCTCTGCTCTCCCCCGCACTTTCCCACCGAGCACTGGTTGGCAAAAGCTGACGCGCGCCTCTGTCCACCCCCCACCCCGCCTTTGTAGGTTCGTGTCATGGCCGAGGAAGGCCTACAGTGCCCCCCTGTCCCAGGTGGAGTCCATCCCAGTAATCTCCGCTTCTGCCAGCTCACCAGCGGTGCCAGCGATAGAGTCCCCCGAGATGGATCTAAATGATTTCGTTAAGTAAGTGCAAAGGCAAAGCCAGAATGGAGTTTTTTAAAATAGCAATTTTTTTCCTCCACACTGACTTCCATTCTCTAACTCACACCTTATTTGTTCATCCAGCCACTCACTAGTCAACAGTTTAGGGAGTGCTTTCTGTGCGTGACGCCCTGGACCGTGCATCTGAGATAGAGTGGAAAATCATTTCTGCTCTCAGGAAGTCACAGCCTCCTGAGTCCTGGAGGACTAAGCCCTTCCCATCCCATTGCCCTCTCTCCATCTGTCCAGGGTCTGCAGCCAGGGTCAGGTCAAGGGTAGCAAGCAGAAAAGGATATGGCAATTGGCCAAACAGTATATGCTCACAATAAAATGCTCCAGTAAATAATGAAACTTAACCTTGAGCACTGGGGACACAGCAAATTGTCTGAAGAATTGCTAGGGCTTCCCAGAATTTCTCGTTATTTGGACATGGGCTCAGTAGGCCAGGAAAGAAGGGTTGGAGCCTATGGAAAATTGGCCAGCCCACTGCCCCAGAGTCCATGTTTGGGGGCAGGGAGTAACAGAGCACTGCCCAGCTGAAGAACATGCTGTGATGGTTGCCAAATGAGTGATTCAACACATTTCAATCAACTCTCCAGGACTGTCCTCACGGATGAAGACGTTGGGTGCGAAGAAAGAGAATACAAGGAAGTGCAAGTGCCCACCGTGGTCATCTCAGATGTACGGTTTCCTCTCCACAGCACGGCTTGGCAAGTCGAGGGCCCTTCCTCTAAAACAAAAACAGAGGCAGGAACAATGGCAAGTGTCACCCTGGAGTTTGGGTGGGATGAGGCTGGGGAACGTCATCCAGGTCACTTCCCAACCAAACACCCCCGGAGCCAGCATCCCAGTGAGAGCCACCCACCACAGCACATAAATTTTTCTCTTTAATGAAAAAGCTGGTTACCTCAAAACCACGGCATTCTTCTCAGCCCCCAGATAGAGCCTACAAAAGGAGAAAGATTTTCCTCAATCATTCCGCAGTAAAAGGGGAGATCAAGGGACTTTAAAAATTCATACCCTTAAATTCTCCTTCTAGATGGATGGCCTGAGGAAATCATTGGAGATAAAAAGATTTAGGTACAAAGGTGTTTGTCACAACACTTTAGAAACGGCAAAAAATTAGAAAAATAAAACACCATGTATCTATGGACAATATACTATCTTTTAAAATAGGATTTGTCTCGGTAGTGGTAGGTGGGAGTAAACAAGCATTTTCATACTTTGTAGGTAAATTAGGAATTGGCATAGCCTCCATGACATACACTTTGGAGAGTGTATCAAAATTTAAAATGCACAATTCCTCTGCTAGGATACTCTTCTCCAGATACACCTTTACATTCTCATAGACATGTAACTCTCCTTGTACACTGCAGCTTTGGTGGTAAAAGCAAGAAAAATTGGAAACAATTTTACCCCACCAATAGGAGACTGGCTGAATAAACCAAATTGTATCTGCACAAGGCAATACTATAAAATCTTAAAAAAAAAAAAAAATGAAGTTCTCTAACGCTGATTTATAATAGTCTCTGATATATTAAGTAAAAAATACATGTTCTATATTTATTTTTTATTTTATTTTAATTCCAGCAGAGTTAACATAGTGTTATATTAGTTTCAGATGTACAATATAGTGATTCAACAAGTCTATATATTACACAGTGCTCATCATATGAAGTGTGCTCTTAGTCCCCAACCCCTATTTCACCCATCCTCCCACCCATCTCCCCTCTGGTAACCACCTGTTTGTTCTCTGTGGTTAAGAGTCTTTTTCTTGGTTTGTCTCCTCTTTTTCTTTGTTCATTTGCTTTGTTTCTTAAATTCCACGTATGAGTGAAATCATAATGGTATTTGCCTTTCTCTGATTGACTTATCTCACTTAGCATTGTACTCTCTAGGTCATTCCATGTTGTTGCATATGGCAAAAAGTGATTCCTTTTTATGGCTGAGTTATATTCCATTGGTAGTATATATACCACCTCTTCTTTATCCATTCATCTATCAGTGGATTCTTGGGCTGCTTCCATAATTTGGCTATTGTAAATAATGCTGCAATAAACATAGGGGTGCATATATCCTTTTGAATTAGTGTTTTCATATTCTTTGGGTAAATACCCAGTAGTGGCATTACTGGATTTTATGGTGATTCTATTTTTAATTTTTTGAGAGACCTCCACACTTTTTTTTCCCCAGTGGCTGCACCAGTTTGCATTCCCACCAACACTGCATGAAGATTCCTTTTTCTCCACATCCTCGCCAACACTTGCTGCTTGTGTTTTTTATTTTAGCCATTCTGACAGGTGTGAGGTAATAGCTTATTGTGGTTTTGATTTGCATTTCCCTGACAATGAGTGATGTTGATCATCTTCTCATTTACCTGTTGGCTACATGTTCTGTTTTTTAAAAGTATTTTAGATGATGCTTGTGAAGAATATTTAGTCACATGGAAAGGCAGCACTCATATCAACTGACAAGTCAGAATACAAATATATATCCTTATATGAACACATTATATACACACACATATATACATATATCTACAGTATAACTTAGTAATTGATTTATATGTCTCTTTTTGGAAGCTTTCTGTATTTTCTGAATTTTTTAGAATACATGTATGGATGTAAAGCACTTGTCTTTTAAATGTTTTCTTTTTTTCTATGTTCAAAGAGGTTTGTCCTAGAAAACTGAAGAATACAGAAAAATGAAAGCAATAATCCTCAAAATGCCACCATTTATAGAAAAGTGCTACTGAAATTTTAGCAGACAACCTCCCAGCTAACTCTGTTTGCATATACAAATCTCTGAATGAATTTGCACATGCTTATACATTCAGGTGTGATACACGGGCATATGTAATTGTACATAAATGGAACTGCTTTTTCACTCAATGATATGTTGTGCATATGATTCCCAGTCCATAAATACACACCAAATCATCCTCCATGGATGGAGGCAGCACACACTCTCTATTTAAAGTGGTTCCCTGTTGATGGGCATTTAGTTTGCTTCCAAAGTTTCGCTATTATAAGTAGTGCTGCAGTAAACATCTTTGTACATATATTTGGGGCACTTGTCCAATGATCTCCATAGGAAAAAAAATGTACTATTTTTAAGGTATAAACAGTATACTTCAGTTTTCTGTCACTGAGTGGGGAGGAGCATATTGATGACCCGTTGTGAATGCTTGCTAGCTTTTCCGCACACCTCTAATTTCTAGGGATTAAAATTTAACTCTGCTGAAACAGAAAAAACAGACCCAAACCTGAGCCAGGTGGAGTTTCAGGAACCCCCATGGATCTTTGAGCGAGAAGAAATGCTTTCCATTGGGATAGAAGAAGTAAGTAACACGTCATGGGCCCTGAAGTCATGTGATACTGACTCTTCTTACTGAGCACCTGCCCCAAGTTGGAAATTTAAATCTTGCCAGGCCACTACGCTCCTTATTATCATCATTTATGTGCAGCGTTCTGGGCTAGTCACCTTTCATGGAGTCAAACAAATTAAAGTCAGGAATTAACCTGTAAATTGACTAAAGCTTAACCTACTCTTTGCAGACCGTCCATCCCAGTTTTGATGCTCTCCTACAGAATGACTTACAGGTGTTTGGTATTACAGGTGTTTGATATTCTGCCCCTCTACGGAGTGCTGCGGCCGCATAGTAGCCACCAGATATCCTTCACCTTCTATGGACACTGTGATATCACTGCACAGGCTAAAGCCCTGTGCGAAGTGGAAGGAGGGCCCACCTATGAGATAATGCTGAGGGGAGAGGCATCCCTGGTCAACTATTCCTTTGACACCAAGGATATTAACTATGGATTGCAGGTATTGCCAGCTACAGGGAGGAGATTTCCCGGTTTCACCTTAAACATCGCACACAGTTCTGTGCTCTAAACTCTCCTGGAACCCCCAGTCATCACAGTCTCACCACCACCCCTAACCTTGATCTCTGATCCACCTCCCTAACCCTGATCATCCCACCGCCAACTGCTGGCCAGGCATTTTCGCTTGCTTCTCTGTCTCCTGGAATTCAGCATGTTAGACTCCTTCCCTCTCAATCCAGAAGCCCATACCGACCTCTCCTTTTCTTTCAACAGCACTACCACCTTCTCAGCCCCTTAAGTTTACAGTCTCCAAGGCATTTGCCACTGCACTCTCTCCGTCGCCTCCCTGTCCTTAGCAGCATCCATGCTTGCTAATTCATCCCGCAGGACCCCTCGGCATCGGCTTGCCCTTCCCATGGCCACTGAGGTTCTCACAGCACCAGGGCTTCTCAAGCCATGCCTGAGATAGGACAGCAGATCTTCTCAAACCGTACCGTGCATACGAGTCACCTGGGAATCTGGTTTCGGTGCAGATTCTGATTCAGTAGGTCTGGGGTGGAGCCTCAGACTCTATCGAGCATTTCTATCAAGCTGCCAGGTGGTGCCGAGGATCCCGTGGAAGAAGGGATTACACCGAATTCATAGCTTCTGCCGCTAACCTGTCTAGACAGCACTGCCACATAGACTTTCCCCAAACTGCATTTTCATCCTCCCAGTCCCAGAACAGTCAACCCCAGCAGCATTTGGGAAAGCAGCATAGTATTGAGAAAAGAGCATGGTTTTGTAGTCAGAAGAACTGGGATGTCACCCCAGTTTGACTTCCTACGGACTCCGGAACCTTGAGCATATCACCTGACCTCTCCAAGCCGCAGGACCCCTCATCTATAAAATAGGGTAGCAGTGCCTGTCTCCCCAGGTGGTTGTGGTCATTTAAGTAAAGTGTCAGTACTGTGCATGGGTCAGGGAAGCCTCCAATCCTGAGTCCCTTTCTCTGTCACCCATTGGATCAGAGCCAAGCTCCTCCACCTGGGTGAGGGTCCTAAGCCCCTCTATTAACTGATGCTCCTTACACATTAAATTTCATTTTTTCCCATTAGAGCCCATTCATCCATTTGTGGACAAACTGGTTTACCCACCGACCCTACTCCTTCCCAGCCCTTCCTGCCTCAGTACTTCCTCTTATATTATCCCTCTTCTCTACTCTGCCAACCCCAAATCTACACATACTGTAAGACTCAACTCAGCTCCCTCCTCCAGTTTTTTTCTCTTACTTTGCATTCTCTCTCTCTTAAGAATATACTTAAGTATATTCTTTGCCGTAAAATAATGTACATTCTAATTTTTGTTTTGGAATAATTGTTAATTCTATGCCTGTACATCTTCTTTTCCCAATTAGATTTGTGTTATATACTCAGAAACCATATCTCCTACCAAATTATAATGGGAATTAGACACCCCCCCCCATTATATAGCTACTGCATGTATAATTACTGAATTCTGGGTGTGCATGTGTGTTTGTAGGTTAAAGATTGTGCCTAAAAGCAAATTCACCCGGCACCTATTGAGACTTTGTCCGTTGAGTTGACCAAATAGAATTCTCTTTTATTCCTTATCTCAAGGCTCTTCTGGGCAAGTAATTCTGGCTCAGCTTAGAGTGTATTCTTTGAAGCAGCCAGGCCTTGCCCTAGCTTATCCTGAGAACCCCCAGAGTGGCCTCAGTTTGTGGTTATTGGACCTGCTGATTAGCTGCTGAACTGTGTTAGTAAAGTCTCAGGAAAAAAGAATACATCTCGCCTGTTACTCCCATGTCTCTCCATATAAGTAGAAAAATCCTAATTCTGAACGCAAATCTTATCCAAAAAATCAACAAATATTAGTATAGGAAAGCTTACTTTTACGATCCTCCATTGTGAGTTCTTTGTGGTGAAGCAGCTGAGGTGCAGAGGGGTAGACACCCCCACACACAGCCCTGCTAACCTGAACTAGTCATCAGAAGAGCTAACGTGGAGCCAGATTTCCAGGGCCTGGTGCTCCTCCAGCTCCAGCAGCTACCTTATGTGATGGCGAAATGCAGATTGGCCAGCGTCTAGATCACGAAAACTGAACCGTGTCTGTGAGGCTTATTTGTCCACCCGCCTTTGCCAGGATGATAGCAGCATCCCAAAGGGTGGCTGACAGCAGTCCCCCTTCTTCTCCTCTCAAGCTGTTCGACCACGTCACAGAGAAGGAGATCACACTGAGGAACACTGGGAAAGTTGGCTTTGAGTTCAAGGTTCTGACTGACCACCTGTCTTCACCGGACAACCTTCTGCCCGGAGCGCCCCTAATCCTGCCCCTCTCGGTAAGTAGCCTCCTCGCCCACGATGGCCGTGGGGCAATGGTAGGAAGGACCCAAGTTCAAACCTGCAAGACATACCCCCGTGGCATGCGAGATTATGCTAGACATTCACCGCCAGGATGATGGGTGTGATTTTTTTTTTTAACTAAAAATAAAGGGTTCTCAGAAGCAATAAATAAATAAATAAATACATAAACCCAAGCACTTTACTCATTTATTAAACAAGGATTTATTGAGTCTTGCATGAGCTAGGCACCGAACAGTAACCAGGGGTTCCACTGTGAACAAGACAGTATAACCCTGTGGGGTTTTTTTCATGATTATAAGAATGGTTTGTTTCCACTTACGTCCTCACACTTCCCTTGTAATTCCTTGAAGCCAAGCGCCTCCTCCCCACTTGGATTAATCCTTTCCTTTTTAAAATACAGTTTTATCATGCATGGATGCATCCTTAAACTGCTTTTGGTTGATGAATTTTTCCAAACTTATAAGCACCCACTATGTCCAGGCATCTTCCTGGCACTGGGGAGGGCATAGCATAGTAAACAAAACAGATACATATACTTGATCCCAAAACTTGGAAATTTTGTTTTATCAGATTTGGCTTTACCTTGAATTTTATGGAAATGGCACCGGTAATGTAATCTTGTGCCTTTTGCTTTTTTTCATCCAATATTATGTTTCTAAGACTAGTGCGCATTGTTGCATGTAGCTGTAGTTCATTTATTTTCACCATTAAACGATATCCCTTTATAACTATTGAAAGCAGTTTTCCTTTTTCCTGCCAAAGCACATTTGGGATTTTTCCCTCCTAAAATGTTGCTGTTGGAAACAGTCCTCTACAAATATCCTCATACCTGTCTCCTGGTCTGCAGATGGAAGCATTGTCTTGGGGAATTTTCCTAGGAGTGAAATTTCTGGGTCGTGGGCTTTGCATATGTTCAATTTTGATAAGATGGTGCTAAAACATTTTTCACTGTGTTTTCTTTTCCCCATTGGCATTCCCACCAGACGTATATAAGTTTCTTTTGATACATATTCTCACCAAAATGTGGTCCTTCTTGGCAATATGTGGTTTAAAAAAAATTCATCACAATCCTAGTTTCATTTCCCTGGTTGTTTATGAGGATGAGCATCTTTTACTGCATTTATTTGCCATTCATCTTTCCTCTTTTATGAAATAACCGTTCACATATACTACCTACTGTTCTGTTGCTTAGTTGTCATTTTAGCATAGCTTCATATGAATAAACGGAGAATAACCAGCACAATAGGCCTGTGGGACTGTCCTATCCAGTAAGTCTCCAGAAGCAGGGTCCATTGTAAATATTAACGTTCTCTCCGGTCTTTCTGCTACATAGGGTTTTATCAGTTCACATCAAGAGCAGGTGTTGAAGGTGTACTACTTACCTGGAGTACCTGAGGTCTTTCAGAGGAGTTTCCAGATACAGATTGCCCACCTGGACCCAGAAAATATCACTCTGCGTGGAGAGGGTATCTTTCCCCGAATCTGCCTCGATCTCCCCAGGAAACTCCACGGTATTACTACCCACTATAGTATTTCCCCACTGGGGAATGAAAAATGCATTCTGCTTTGTTTATTTGAAGGTTGCTTGGCAGTCCTCACTGGTTTCCTTCTGTGTGATTCCTCAATTGCAAAAAAAAAAAAAAAAAATCGAATTGAAATTGACCTGGTGACCTGAGTTTAAGGAGACAGGATATGGTCCATGGCAGTCCCAAAATTAAGACCCCTGAACAATTTTGCCATCAGTGAATTGCATATAGAGGAATCAGGAAGTTGCACTTTGAAAGGCCTTTTCCTCCAGCACACGTTCCTTCCAGCTACAGTCTCTCCCTGAATTGTCCTTTATTGTGGCACATTTACAGATGGCCATTGAGAGGTGAAGGCTGATTTTACTCCAACGAGTAGAAATCCTAAAATAAAAACTGTACAGAAAGGCAACCAAGGTTCGGACTCCTTCCGTGTGTTGGCATTACACAGTTCAGAGGCTAATTTAGACTTTGATTAGTTGTCTGCCCACATGCTTAGCTGAGGTTTCTCTGGCAACATCTAGCCCCTGGAGCCATCCCTCTGGGCCCAAAGACTTCCATCTTGGCAAATCCCAAAGCTCAGCTGAGCAGCTGTCTTAGCCATGCACCGTCTGGCTCCTTCTTCCTGACATGGGGTGCCAGATGAAGGGTTAAGACAAAGTTCTCATTCTTCTTTGTGACTCATTCAGGCTCTTTGAAATCTTCATTCCACAGACAGCTTCAGACTAAGCCCTCCTACTCAGCCTTCGCCCCCCCACCGTGCCCCAAAATCACTGGCTTGCCTGTTGATGATCATCCATGACATCCTGACTGTCTGCTCCCTGAAAATACAAACACAAATGTTAGTACATTTAAGGCCATGTTACACTCTAGCATCTAGAGTTCCAGCCAGCTAGAGGTTAATCCAGCTCCATACAAAAGTGTCAGGAGGGAAAGGAAAGCCTTTGCCACTTGGTTGAAAACCCAGTGCCCAGCGGGCCTCTTTAAGGCAGTAGCCACATTTGGCCAGCAGAGGGCTTTCAGAGAATGTACATCTGAATACTATCAGTTCTGAATACTTCTAGTTGGGTCTCCTGTGCTCCAGTTCATTTCGAGTCCAGTGCTTCCTATTATTCCAGAGTAGGCACTTTAATTTCTCTGCCTACCTCGTCCCTCAAGCATTTGAATTTGCACTGGCTTACTGGTGAACTTGGTGTCTGAAATCTCTCCACTGATTGCCTACATCCCTGGTTCGGGGGATTGAAGCCTGTTTACTTACAGTTATAGCTGCACATATAGGCCTTTTGTTTACTGTGATTTAATAAACATACAAAGTGAATTAAAGGATGACCGGCCATCAGAGTGCATCCAGCGTGGAGGGGGCTCCCAGTTCATGCGGCGTTCAGTGCTAGACCCAGGAAAGCACCAAGGAAGCTGGGATCTGCTTGATCACCTTATGAGTAATGTAGGATGTTACTACCATCAAGTTCTTGAGAACCAGCTGGGAGCTTACTACAGCGTAATCTCATTAAACTCCATGGGGTCTCTGATACAAACTGAACTCACTCAAAAACTCCGTCACCCTCTAAGGCGGAGAAAACATGGCAGGTAAAGCACCAAAAAGTTCACTTCCTTTCTCACTCTATGGACCCTGAGCTGACAGTCTGTGTTTTAGGCATAATTCATATATTTCTAATCATCCTGATTTCTTTCTCCTTCCAATCCCACAGGAAATAAAAAGTATGAAACCTTTTTGAATCAAGCCAGAAAAAACCTAGAAAAAGAACACAACAAATATGAAACACTCATTGACTTAGAGACAACTGAGGAAATGCCTGAGGATGAATCTTCTGAGGTAAGATTAGCTTCACCCTGCACAGAATGAATGTGGCAGAAGAACAGTAGGTGCAAAGGCCCAGGGACAAGAAGGACATGGTATCTCAAGGAACAGAAAGGAGAAAAAGATGTAGCTAGAGCAAAGAAGGGGGAGAGGTAAGGGGCCCCCTAGGGAACCTATTAAGGGTTTCAAGCTTTATTCTGAAGGCAACAGCAAGTCACTGAAGTGTTTCAAGTGGAGCCTTGGGTAATCAGATTTACATTTGTAAAAAAATCTCTCTGGCTGCCTTGTGGAGCTCTGAGAAGCTCTCAGGGGCTTGTGGGGAATGAGAGTAGATGTGCTGAGATGTGCTCAGTTTTTTAAAAGCTGGTAGGGTAACTAACTCTAGAAGAGAGGTGATGGTCGTGTAAACAAGGGTGATGACACAGGAGGTGGGGAGAATCAGGTAGGTTCAAGAAATACTTTGGAGGTGGATTGGTCAGTGATGAGGGAATGGTTGGATGTGGGGGTGAGGCAGAGGTGACCACCCTATTGTCTTGCTTGGGTGACAAAATAAGGAGGGGGCAACTCAGGAAACTCAGGAGGAGAAGCGTGTTTAGGGGGAGGGGAGAAAGGGAAATGAGTTCTGATGGTTCGTTATTGTACATGAGATTTCTGAGCATCATCCAAGTGAGGCTCCAACAGGGAGCTGGACCCAATGCTATGGACCTGAGGAGAGAGATAGGCCGGAGAAAGTGCTTTGAGTCACCAGATGGTCATTGTGATCACAGGAAATGGTGAGATTCCCTGGGATGTATACTGAGTAAGCAGGGGAAAGGGTCAATTCAGAGTCGAGCCCTCTGGTCTCCACCAGCTAAGTCGGGGCGGGGCAGCAGACGAGGTTCAGTGTGGTGCCTCCGAGGTGGGAACCAAGCCAAGAATTGGTCTTTCAAGGGACAGAGTGACCCAGCTTGTAAATAAAGGCTGCCCTTGTGGTGGGAAGTAAAACCAAAATCCCAAAATGTTCTCCCTCACCACTCCCTGAAATTTTTCTCTTAACAGTCCATTCATGACCATGAAGCCTGCTTTCTCCCTGTGCTCATCTTTTAAAATGCAAATGTGCATGAGAATATGGTCCCAAGGAAGAATTACTTATGTAGCTAGAGACCCCTTAGGCTGATGAAGAGCAATGTCACTTGGGAGACTGGGAGCCCCAAAGGCCACCAGCAATGACTTGTTTTGCAGAAGCTGAAAGTGCACCTTAGCTCCAAGGATGATCATAATTAATAACATGAGCTACCATTTATTGAACTGTTGCCCAGGCCTGTGTCATGCTACAGACCTGCATTATTATTTCATAACCCCTCCCACAATGGGGGGGAGCCATACGGTGCCACTCTTGTCTTAATTTCACAGTGTGACAGGATTTGTGGAAGTGAAGTGCAGGTCCCCAGGAGGCAGCAGAGTTAGGATCTGAATCCAGGCCTGTCCAACTCCTAAGACCATGTTCTTAGCCTCTGTCCTCTCCCCTTGGGCCCGCAGCTGTCCATACGGGGCAGCAGTGTGTCTCCACTCTGCTCACCATGTTCCCAGTGGCTCCTCAGGGGAGCCTTAGCACAGCTGTCTCTGGTGGCCACTCCAGACTGGGGTGAGGCTTCTGAGAACGTGCTGAAGGCACAAGCAGAGCGAGCTCGTCCTCGGGCACAAGGAGGCAGGCAACCTCTCCTGGCTCGGGAGCAAGCGTAGGGTGGGCTTTGCTTACGCCGGGATGACTGGATACACCTGTTGGTGAGGCATGCTGCTCCCCCACTAACCCATCACTTCCCGTGGTCTCCTTACAGGCCACCCCACACATTAACCTTCCCCACTTGGCCCCGGACTTAAGGTTTGAGTCTTCAGGAACAATATTTCTCAGCCTTTTTTCACTGTCACCTCCCAAGACATTTTTTTCCTAACACCCCATGAAATATTCTTATCATATATAAAAAAATAATATTTTTGAATAGTTTGATGTTAAAATTTTTTAACTTTTTATTTTGAAATAATTATAGATTCACAGGATGTGGCCAAAAAAAAAATTGTTTTCCCCAATGGTAACATCTTACATAACTTGTAAGACATGGTACAACAATATCAAAACCAGGAAATTGTCGTTGGTATAAGCCACAGAACTTATTCAGATTTCAATTTTATATGCGCTCATTTGTGTGTGTGGTTCCATGTAATTTTTTTGTACGTGTAGGTTTGTATAACCCCCACCACAATTAAGGTACAGAACTGTTCCACCACCACAAAGATCCCTTGTGCTTGAGGAAATAGAATTAAAAGCAAAATTTCCTTCCAACCCAGAAAATCTCTCCACAGAGGGAGAAGAGAAAGAAAACAATTTTATTGTTGAAAAAGCATTAAACCAGAATGTGATCCACATTACAGGCAGTTCACTAAGAGATTGCAAAGACAGAAAGAAATCTCATCCTTTTATATAACCAAACATATGACCCATTACATACATGTTCTCAAGATAAACACTAACTAGTCCTTAAGTAAGAACTATAACTAACTGTAAATACTCCTCACCATCTGTCACACATAATTCATCCTGAATTCATGTGGTAATCGGGGTGACCAGCTGTGTTGGATAATTGGCTTTATCCAGAGGGGAACCTCTCGTGTAGGCTAGAGCCCTCTGAAGTCAAGCTCCTAGCCTGTCACAGAAACTGGGAGATGGAGCCTCTATCTTACTTGATGATCACATTTCGAAGAGAAGGTTTCTGGGGTCTTGAGGAACATACTCCTGGGTCATAAATCTGACCAGAGGCTTATGTAGGCTTTAAAAAGATTTATATGCATTTCAGAAAAACAGAGAAAGGACTCATAAGTTTTCTAAATTAATTGTTCTAAGAAAAGGGAGCGGGGAGAAGTCTCTAAGTCTCTCCCCTTATTTTCAACAAGGAGAATTCACCCTCTTATTTTTCATTTGTATTTGGCCTTATAAGCTACTTCTTCATAGCCATGCCAATCTTCCATCCCTTACCCTTGGCAACCACTATAGTTCTCCGTCTCTATACTTCCATTATTTCAAGAATATTATGCAAACAGAATCATACAGTATGTAACCTTTTTCATTGAGCGTAATGCCCTTGAGATCCAACAATATCAATAGTTCTTTCTTTTTCATTGTTGAGTAGTATTCCATGATGTGGATATGCCAGTTTCTTTACCCAACCCACCACCCCCATGAAAATTTTAATACCACAAATATACTGTATATCTGTTTATGTACTGTGCCCTTTGGAAGGCCACGAATCAATGTACTACCTACAATTTTTTTTCATTACCCCTTCCATGAAGCAATTCTGTCCTGCTTAGAGGTGATTTACCCCCACTGAGAATGCATGTTCTACAAGAAATTGCTCACTTGCTCTTCTCCCTTACTCCCTTACTCCAGTTAAGTCCTCAGCTCCAGATGGAAGTAGAGCGACTTATAGTCCAAGGCTATGCCATAGAACATCAGAAAACAATTATCCCCGATTCCACAGATGACTTTAGCTATCGGAGTCGTCGAAAACTAGCCAAGTGAGTGTCCTTCTGTTTCGGGCTTGGTTCAGAGGGCAGCATAGAAAACGGTGTTGCCCACCAGAGCACAGCCTGAATTAATTAGTGGTTGATCATGTAGACATGAAATCTACTCGCCTCCTGCACCTGCCATCCTCTAGCATCCAGCCAACCAGAAGGTCTCTGCCTCTGAAAGTCAGAAACTTCTGGCTTTGCCTAATGGAGAGCTTGGGTTTCAGGTTCATTAGGGCCCATGCTGCATGTGTCTTTAGATAGTGACTGAAACAGCAGTGTGGACTCCTGGGCATGGGGGAATTTCTTGTTCCTAGTCTCCTCTCCAGAGGGTGGTTCTTCTCCTCTCTCAAGGACAGAATTATGACAGGGGACAGAAGAGAACAGCACAATCACTCTTTTGGAGAAGGGACTGGTAAGGAGAGCTTGTTAACTGTTTCAGAGTCCAGCTGCCAGAGTATATCCTGGACTTTGGCTACATCATCCTTGGTGATGTCCGAACACACATCATCAAGATCACCAACACCAGTCACTTCCCAGTGTCCTTCCACGCAGAAAAGCGCATCCTCCATGACACAGGTAACCAGGCTAGGGAGACCCTTTCTTCTTGCCCTTGTCGTTTCTAACAAGGTGCCCAGCTGTACTGTTTTTCTGGAGTTGTATTCATTCTTCCTCTGGGATCAGCTGAAAGAATTCTTGGGCCATTAATTGATACTTGGAATGGTCATCCTGCCCCAGAAGGGCTCTACCTACAGCAGCTCTTGTTTGCCATTTCTCTTTCCCACAAAGAAATTTTGTTTATGTTGGTCCAGGCTTCAGTACGGAGTTAGATCGTGTAAAGAATCTGCCTTACTGTGAAACGGAAACATTTGAAGTGAAATTTGACCCACAAGGGGCCAGTCTTCCTGTTGGAAACAAAGAGGTCATTTTGCCCATCAAGGTAAGATGCTATGCTGGGCCCAGCTGATCATCCCCAACTACCAGCTCTGTTCGCCAGTTACCCCTGAAATGATCCAGTTACCATTTCAGAGCCATGAGTCTTCCCCTAACCCCATGCCACGTGGTAACAGCAACTTTATGCCTGTTCTAGGTGGTTGGAGGGCCAACAATACACATCTGTCTCCAAGCCAAGGTGACCATTCCCACTATGACACTGTCTTGTGGAAAAGTGGAGTTTGCCACAATTCAGTGTGGACAGTGCCTCATGGAAACTGTTCAGTTTTCTAATCCTCTCCAAGTCCCTTGTGAATGGTTCGTCCACAGTCATAAGCCAGTTAACAAGGTAAACGAGTTGTGGCCCATTGGTCCCCTTCTTCCAACTCCATTTCAGCCAGATTTGTCATTCTAAGCCTTTGCTTTTTCATTATTTCAGTCTTCTGCTCAAGACCTGCAGTAACAACCATTGCTTCTGAAATACAATCTAGGCCCTTAGCCCCGCATTCATGGACGTACCAGGCCACACTGTCTGGTGAATGTCTTACTCATCTCTATAGCCCTGGTATCTACACATTCCCTGGCACCTGGGAGGGACTCAGTAAATGTAGGCCGAGTGAGTGGAGGATGGAATAAATCCGTTTTCCATAGTAGATTATCTCATTGTCTAATATCTATTAAACAGCTGGAGAAACACATGCCGAAATACTTAAGACGGAAACTACATGCTGAATTAAAGCCAAAGACACGCATCTTTGAAATCCAGCCCATGTCTGGGGTCCTGGGTCCTGGGGAGAGGTCCAACGTGCAAGTGAAATTCATGCCTAAAGAAGAGGTAAGCTTTAAAGAAATGTGGCTCCATTCAGACTCTCTGGGTCTCTTTGAGCTTTCCTCAAAGGCCATACTTGATGAGGCAGGTGTCCAGGGAATTTCTGAGTGACCTTGGCCTCGCTATTGTGATAAGGACGTCAAGTGCTTGTTTCATGTAGGAGCTGTGTGACCTGGTAGTTAAGAGCACCAGCTCCAGAATCAGATCTGTCTAGCACATTGACTTTTATCGGCAGACCTGGGTGAGAGGCCTTCTGCTTCTGTACTTGGAGGCTGCATGGCTTTGAGTAAATTACTTAGCCTCTAAACCTCAGTCTGCTCATAGATAAAATGAAAAATAATATCACATGTCAAAAATCCCCTAATGCAACTCTAAAATCCAATAAGCTCCACAGAAACTGGGGGGCGAGGGGAATTTTCATAAGTTTCAGACCCAAATTCATTTGGTGGAAAAACCTCACCTGAACTGACAGGAGACTACTTAACCTTTATTTATTCCACTTAGTTTGCAGAGTCAAACATTGCAACTGCAGAAATATTAGTGTTTGGTTTTAGGGGACCTGCCCCAGCCCCCGCTGAGGATATTGTGTAACAGAGGGTCTGTGCACTACCTTTACCTTTTTAAAAATCTGAATTTGAAAGCATCTGGCTCTTAGGGTTTCAGCTAAGACAGTATCAACCGGCCATACCTATTTCCTAGGGTTATTTTGAAGATTAAATGAATTAATGTGAATAAAATGCACAGCAAACTGCTCTCTATGTAGTATCTCAATAACTATTTACTGTTGTCATCAGTAGTTGGGATAATAATAAGTACTTCCTGGTAGATGTACTCCCTGGGCCTCACAGACGTTTCTTTTTGAATGCCATTAGCACAAAGCTACTCCTAGCAAAGAACACAGTAAAAATAAAATCCTACAGCCAGAGAGGATCTCAAGAGGTTACACTGTAAGACTTGTGCTCAAAGCCTAAGGCATTAGGGAGATGGCTTTCTCCTCTTTATTCTTTTAAAAGAAAAAAATCAATGTGGGTTTTATAGAATACTTACAGTTAATGCCCATTTTCCTGGTAATGGAAATGCTTTGAAGAATGCTGAAGAGTCTACAGTGAGAAAGAAGAAAAGCCAATGACTTTATATCTGATTCTAAAATAAAACCCCTGTTTCTTTCATTATCAAAATCTCCCCAACCCTTTCTTTGAAAAGAAAAGAGAATTAATATGTTTGTCATTCTTAGAGTCTTAAGACTGTTAGGGGGTTTATCGTCAGGGTTGCCAAGATTTTTGATACTTGACTAAATGAGAGACATATCAGTAAATAAGTAAAAAAAAAAAAAAAAAAGATTTGTTCAGGTGGTTCCATAAATGTTGAGTTGGAACTGGTCAGAGTTAATAAAATGTTTCCACCAACTGGGAGAGCAATTTATTGGTGATATATAAGGAATTGGTTAGCCTTGCAACCCACACAGTCCACATCTCTATCTCCTTCAGCATCAGCAGCATAGGAGAAATCACTGAGGTTATAATAGATGTTCAGAATACTCTGTTAGAAAACAAGGAAATGAATAAAATATCTTAGAAATATTTCCATAAAAAGCAATTAAAAGATAGAAGTTTGGATCAAAAGGTGCTAAGTCCATAGCCATATAGAAAACCCTTTTAGGGGCACCTGGGTGGCTCAGTCGTTAAGTGTCTGCCTTCGGCTCAGGTCATGATCCCAGGGTCCTGGGATCAAGCCCTGTGTCCAGCTCCCTGCTCAGCGGGGAGCCTGCTTCTCCCTCTCCCACTCCCCCTGCTTGTGTTCCCTCTCTTGCTGTCTCTCCGTCAAAATAAATAAATAAATAAAATCTTTAAAAAAAGAAAGAAAGAAAGAAAGAAAAACCCTTTTAGCCAATAATTCATTCTCTTACTGTCTCCAACAATATTTTCTGGGTGTGTATGTATGTCCATCCACATTCTATCCATCTGATTTTCCTTCTTGAGCTAAAATACTTCGGAGCTCTTCAAATCATGAAACCAATCATGGCCTCCAAACCCAAGCCATGAGCCTAACTATATCAGAATGACCTGAGCATGTGGTTAAAAATGCAGACTTCCCAGCCTTACCCTGTCCCTGTCAAGTCAGAATCTCTAGGGATGGGGCCTGTGAATCCACATTTTTAATAAGTTCCCCCGTAAAACCAGATTAGGATAGTTGGTATCCCTATCAATTGGTATTCAGACTGTAATTATATCTGATAAACTAAATGCCCCAGCTGACCATCCCTAACCCACTGCTTGACTGTATCTTCAAATAATAGAAATATGTTAATTCAGATTCTACAAGAAACAGACTTGGAGACAAGAATTCAAGTGCAAGCAGATTAATTGGGAAGTGTAGGGAACACTGATAGAGAAGTAGAAGGTGGTCGGGGAAAGGAAGGCTGCTAATAGGGTGTGCGAGTGAGCCAGCTGCCTTGGAGACTGGAACATAATCCTACTGGGAAACTGAGGAAATAGACAAAATGCACATTTCAGAATTACACCTTCCCAGGAGCAAGGGACCTGAGGTATTTATGTGGTAGTTCCTGAGTCATTGGTTGAGGATTGCTCCCATAAGATGTTAATCCCAGCACTTCTGCCCTGCCTTGCCCATAGGCAGCAGGGCCCATGAAATGAGAGCCCAGAGGTGCAGATAGTGGCCCATCTTGAGCGCACTGGGGGTCTGAAGGATATGAGTGTGGCATCCAAAGGGCCTTCTCCGAGTGATGAAGCCCTTGGTACAGTGCCTGGCATGCTGGATACCCAGTGTTAATACAGTAATAGAAATTGTTCTCATGCAATTTTACATAAAAAGTTTTCTCTCTTAATCTCCGTAGCATCAGTTTTGTCCCCACAGTGGTTTTCAGGTTTACATCGAACATGACAAAAAACAAAGTTAAGATGCTTGCTGTGTTCTCATGTCTTGCAGAAATTCTACAGCCAAACCCTGGTGTTCCAGATTGCCCAGAGTGCTCAGAAGCTTACGCTGCTGGCGCAGGGGCAAGGTTTAGAGCCATGCTTGGCATTTAGTCCTTCGGTTCTGGAGCTGGGGCCGCTGCTGCCATATGCACCCGGAGACGAGGCTGAGGTGGTGGTGAAGAATCCCTGCAGCTTTCCCATTGAGTTTTACTCCTTAGAATTTGACCAGCAGTATCTCTTAGAAGAGAAGGTGAGCAGAGGCCAAAACCAAATTCCATTTTCCTTCCCCTGCTGGACCCTGCCATGTGCAGGTGCTCTTCCCTCAGTGTGGACAACTTCCTCCCGACCTTTGTCCCTTCTTCCCCTTAAATCCTTCCTTGTCAATTTGAAGATCACTTTGTAGCCTTTCCTGACCTCCTTCCCTTGCTCTGAGCAGAATTTTTGCTTCTTTGTGATCTCATTACACATTTTAAACAACTAATTGAAAAACTGATAGATGCTCATGGTTAAAATTCAAACAGTAAAGAACAACTAATTGAAAAACTGATAGATGCTCATGGTTAAAATTGAAACAGTAAAGAACAGTAAAAAAATCAAACAGTAAAGAACAGTAAAGAAAAGCTGTCATTATATTTGAAGTGAGTTTCTTGTCAACGGTATGTAATTGGATCTTTTAAAAAAAAATACACTCTGGTAGTCTCTGTCTTTAATTGGTGTATTTAGACCGTTTACATTTAATAAAATTATGTTAGGGCTTAAATCTGCCACTTTTTTTTTCTGTTTGTCTTGGGCTACGTATTTTCCAATTGTTCCTCCATGTACTTTTTTTTTTTTTTTTTTACTTTCTTTTTTTACAGCAGTTTTATGTTCACAGCAAAATTGAGGGGAAGGTACAGAGATTTCCCATATAACCTGCCCCCCACCCATGCATACCTTCCTCTATTATCAACATCCCCTGCTAGCGTGGTACATTTGTTACAATTGATGAACCTACACTGATACATCATAATCATCCAAAATCCACAGTTTACATTAGAGTTCACTCTTGGTGTTGTACCTTCCATGGGTTTGGACAAATGTGTAATGACATGCATCCACCCATTACAGTATCATATAGAGAATTTTCACTGCCCTAAAAATCCTCTGTGTTCTCCTATTCATCCCTGCCTCTTCCCAACCCCTGGCAACCATTGATCTTTTTACTATATGCATAATGTGGCCTTTTCTAGAATGTCATATAATTGCAATCATACAGTATACCTTTTCAGATTGGCTTCTTTCATTTAGTAATATACACTTAAGTTTCCTCCATGGCTTGATAGCTCATTTCTTTTTAATACTAAATAATATTCCATTGTCTGGAGATAGCAGTTTATTTATCCACTCACCTACTACAGGACAACTTGGTTGTTTCTAAGTTATGGCAATTATAAATAAAGCTGCCATAAATATCCATGTGCAGACTTTTGTGGGACATAAATTTTTATCTCCTTTGGACAAGTACCAAGTAGCACAATTGCTGGATCATGTGGTAAGAGTATGTTTAGTTTTATAAGAAACTCCCAGACTGTCTTCCAAAGTGGTTGACCATTTTGCATTCCCACCAGCAATTTGTGAAAGTTCCTGTTGCTCCTCATTCTCATCAGCATTTGATGTTGTCAGTGTTTTGGATTTGGGCCATTCTAATAGGTATGTAGTCATATTTTGTTTTGACTTGCATTTCCCTGATGACCTATGATGTGGAGCACCTGTTCCGATGCTTATTTGCCATCTGTACATCTTCTTTGGTGAGGTGTCTGTTAAGGTCTTTGACCCATTTTTTAATCAGGTACTTTGTTTTCTCATTGTTGTGTTTCAAAAGTTCTTTACACATTTTGAATAACAGAAGTTTATCAGATGCACCTTTTGCAAATATTTTCTCCCATTCTGTAACTTGTCTTTTCATTCTCTTGACATTGCTTTTTGCAGAGCCGAGGTTTTTAATTTTAATGAAGTCCAGCTTATCAATTATTATTTTCATGGACTGTGCCTCTGGTGTGTATCTAAAAAGTCATCATCAAGGGGACTGGGTGGCTCAGTTGTTAAGCGTCTGCCTTCGGCTCAGGTCATGATTCCGGGGTCCTGGGATTGAGCCCCGCATCGGGCTCCCTGCTCTGTGGGAAGCCTGCTTCTCCCTCTCCCACTCCCCCTGCTTGTGTTCCTTCTCTTGTTGTGTCTCTCTCTGTCAAATAAATAAAATCTTTAAAAATAAATAAATAAAATAAAAAGTCATCATCACACCAAAGGTCATCTGGATTTTCTCTTATGGCACCTTCTAGGAGTTTTATAGCTGTATGTTTTTCATTTAGCCCTATAATCCATTTTGAGCTTTTTGAAAGGTGTCAGATCCATCTAGATTTGGGTGTCTTGCATCTGGATGTCCAGGTCTGGCATTGTTTGTTGGAAAAACTATCTTTGCTCATTGTATTGCATTTGCTCCTTTGTCAAAGGTCAGTTGACTGTATTCATTTGGGTCTATTTGTGGGATCTCTGTTCTGTTCCACTGATCTATCCGGGTCTGTTTTTACTATCTCTACCCTGCTCTGCTACCTTGAGGATGAGCTGTATAAACTACCCCTTTATCTAATACCCTTAGTACTCTACTTTTTAGAGACTGCCTCTTAGTTCCCTACTGTGAGCAATTATGAAATTAGCTACTAATCTCTTTTTCTCTCTTCTCACCACCCTCTAATGTAAAATAATATTCTCTTCAATTAATGCTTACTAGGTAAACATTTCAGGTGCACTCCCTCCATGTTTTGCTTCTTGTTTAGTATCTGTCATGTCAGAACTTACAATGTTAGGATGTCAGAACCTAATTTCTATCACTTAATTTTAGTTCTATACTTACATGTATTCGATGTTCAACACCAGTCCTTGTGATGAATCTTCTCCAGTCACCACTATGTGGTCTGTAGTTCATTCCTTAGGAAGGGCTCAGGGGAACACTATTCCCTGAGTACACGCATGTTGGTAACTATTTATCTGTGGCTTTTATGCTTGAAGATAGGTTTGGTTGGATTACAGTACCTTTCGCTCACGTTTGCGCTTGGCTATCTTAAATGCATTGCTCCATCGTTTTCTCCTATGCTGTTCATGAAGTCTGATGCTTAGTTTTCTATTACATATTAAGTAGTTATCTGTGGCTGCAAAACAAATGCCCCCAAGCTTAGCAACTGAAAACAATAAACATTTGTTATCTCATGTGGTCTGTGGGCCAGGAATTTAGGAATGGCTTAGCTTCTGCTTCCTCCGAACCTTCCCCCAACTCAGCCTTTGAGTCTTCTGTCTTCTTTACATCTAGTGTTTATTCTCTGCCCAATTTAGATTCTGCATCTAGAAGTTTTTCCCAGAATGGGAATTTGTCCCTCTGGAAGGGAGTCTTTTCATTAGGTATTCATGAAATGTTCAATGGCTTATGTTGGCACCGCATCCTCTGCTGTGGGCCAGGTTCAATGGAAAGCAGAATCTAAGACTCTGAGTTGTGCATGCAGGTTTCATAGGGAACACTCTCAGGAGAAACACCAGGAAACAATAAGGCAAGTAGACCTGGGCAAAGAGATGAACTGTGATGGGATTATAGCAGAGACCTCAGTGGACCCCACAGGAAGCTATGGAGCTGGGCTGGCTCTTCAGAATTGCCCCAGTTGAAGCAAGTTGGCCAGGCTTTGTGTGTGTGCATCACCCAGTCTTTGGAATTTTCCTTCCTTTCCCCACTGACCTGCCATGCCAGCTCTGTTCTGTATCAAAGCTCCCTATATGAATGGGTCTATTCTAAATTCTCTTTTCTGTATCATCTCACTGGTCAGTTAGTCTATCCCAATACCAATCCCATGCTGTCTGTTACTCCAGCTTCAAAAGTCCTAATATCTAGCTGGACAATCCTCTCTCTTTATTCTTCTTCATTAATGTTTTAACACTTTTTTTATAAGATTTTATTTATTTATTTCAGAGAGAGAGCCCGAGCAAAGGGAGGGGCAGAGAGAGAGAGAGAGGGAGAAGCAGACTCCCTGCTGAGCAGGGAGCCCAACGGAGGGCTTGATCCTAAGACCCTGAGATCATGACCTGAGTCGAAGGCAAATACTTAACCCACTGAGCCAGCCAGGCGTCCCAACTCTTTTTTTTTTTTTTTTTTACCACTTTCTACATTCAAGTAAAATTAACATACATGATTATATTAATTTCAGGTGTTTCAACTATTCTTAGCTCTTCGTTCTTACATATAAATTTTAGAAGGAACTTCTTAACAGTGCTTTTCATACAACTAAAAATAGTGATCCTGGAGAAAGAAAGGTTACTCAACAAAACAGATTTTTCACATAAATTAGACAGTATAGGAAGCGATTGCTTTCTAGAACTTTATTATACTGTGTCTTATAAATATACATACACACTAGGGTTACCAGATTTAGTAGAAAGAAAAACAAGTTACACAGTTAAATTTGAATTTCAGATAAAAAACATAGGACATATTTTATATGGACATTTTTATACTAAAAAAATTATTCATTGTTTATCTGAAATTCAGATTAAACCGCACATCCCGTATTTCATCTGACAACCCTAAAACATTCCCTCCCTACCCCCCAAAGCTCCCCCACACATTCATGCACACGCATACTTAATACCATTTTACCAGTTTTTCCCTAGATCCTCTATGAGACAACCACCTTCCTTGTATAACATTGCTCACCACAGGATTTTTCAAGACCGTGTCACTCAAAGTGGATAATGGAGCTCTGTACTTCTGTCAATGGAAAAACAAAAAACAAACAAAAAAACAAAACAAAAGAAAAACAGTATATGTTATTTGTAAAACAAGAGGAAAATTCTCTTCCACATGTGAAATGCCCAGGCTCAAATGGGGCAAAAATTAAGATCCTATATGCCCAGATTCATGGCCCAGCCTGACTTTTTAGACCTCTCCAAAGGCCCATTGTCGACACCCCAGCCTCAGGCAGGAGTCAAGTTCTTACGAGGTGGTCAGCAGACCCTCTGAGAGCTGTCAGGAGGAAGCTTCCAGGCAGCCAACAGCAGTGGCCGTCCTCCTCTTGCAGATCTTGCGAACGCTGAAGGGCTATGATCCCTACAACACCTTGCTGCTGCCTCCCCGCCTTCCCGGGGAAAAGCTGCCCCCAGAGCTGTACGAGTACTTTAAGGAGATGAAGCGGTCAAAGGAGGAGCAGATGAAGGCCAAGTATCTGGAAAGTCTGGTCCAGGAAAACGGTGAGAGCTCAGTGCCAAGAGCCCGGCTTCAGCCCCTGCCCTGGTCCCCCGGAGGCACCCCTCCTGCGAGGCCAGCCAGTCCCTGAGCGCATGCCAGATGCCAGACCGTGCTAGGTGCCTCATACATTTTGTTTCTAATCCCCACAAAATGGGCCTGTTATCCCTGCTGTATGGATGCGGAGACAGGGATACATTCTTCTCTCGCTAGAGTCTAACAGAGAGTTAAGACTTAAACACAATGGGTGACAGGCATTAAGGAGGGCCCTTGAAGTAATGAGCACTGGGTGTTGTATGCAACTGATGAATCACTGAATTCTACCTCTGAAAGGACTAATACGGGATATATTAATTAGATTGAATTTAAATAATTTTTTTTTTTAAAAACCCAACTGATACAGGTATAGAAGAACGCTTGCTAGATGCCAAGCCCTGTGCTGAGGGCTTTACACATATAGATGAGAAACTAAAGCACAGAAGCACTGAGCGGCCAGGTCCGCAGTTCGAAGGGGTAGAATGAGGATTTAAGCCCAGATGTCTCCGACTCCAGAGTCCGTGGTGGTGACCGCTATGTTCCACGGTGGCTGCATGTGCCCCGGTGATGCAGTAACACATCACACAGGGTATCACTTGGTACCCTGAAAGAGATAGGGGGTGGGGGTTCACACAAGGAAGAGGTTGGCCCTCCGTGGTCCTCAAGGCCAAACCCCAATCATAAAGCTGGACTGTGCTCTTGTAACTTGCCCCTTTCTGGCCCAGTGCCCCTGACTTACCCCATCATCCTCCACCCATGGGCTCCCTTGAGTGCACACTTGAACATCAAGGCTTCTGGATGACCTGTAGCATGATGCATGCTTCTCCTTCCTGCTTACCGTGCCCTCAACCTGGAAATGTGCCCTCCCTGTTGTTACTTGCTCTCTTTTTCTGTGTAACAGTCATCACGTATGTAATTGTTTTCTTCATACCTGTCTGCCCCCCAAATGAGAAGTCCCCATAAAGGCAGCGATCACATGTTCCCCATTATAGTACCCAATAAATATGTGCTGTGAGACTGAATGAATGAGCTGCATGGAGTTCATTTACTCCCACCCTTGGGCTTGTCTTGCCTCTCAGGGAAGCTAGTCAGAGAATACTAGTTTGTCCTAAAAGGAGAAGATGAGAGAAAAAGACCACCTCTCCCCGCATTCTCCCAGTCAGCGTCATTGAGCGCTATTAGTGCTCAGATGCTAGAACTACCATCACAAAGACCACAGACTGGGTGACTTAACCAACAGAAGTTTCTTTTCTCGCAGTTCAGGAGGCCCGATGTCTAAGATCAAGGTTTCAGCAGGGTTGTTTTCTTCTGAATGTCCTTCCTTGGCTTGTAGATGGCCGTCTTCCTCTAGTATTGACATGGTCTTCCCTCTGGGTGTCTGTCCAAATCTCTTCTTAAAGAACACCAGTCATACTGGAGTGTGGATGGAATAGGACACCCATATGACCTCATTTTAACTCTTTAAAGGCTTTATGTTCAAATATAGTCACATTCTGAGGTACTGGGGAGTTAGGATTTCAACCTACGAATTTTAGGGGAATCAAGCCTATAACAAGCACCCACTATGTATGTTCCAAGAACAGAGCTGAAGTGTGGTAAACAGATCAATGAAACAAGGTTTCGTCTTAGAGAGCCCCGGGGTCAGGAAGGAGGTGGGAGGGCAGACACTGAAACTCAAACCTGCTCCCTGGTGGCCTGGGCAGACAGCTGCAGGGGCTGCCAGGTACAAAGGGCATCATGACCTCAGAGAAGGGCCCTGTCGCTTTAATCCCCATCCTTACAATGGTACAGTTATAGGTTCATTGTTTCATTTGGCCCATTGAAAGGTGGCGGAGAATGGGGACCCAGGGGTCCAGAGGGGGCCAGGGAGGTGCATACTCTACTTTTCCCCAGGGGTTCTCCCAGCCTCTGCTCCCTCTGCTCTCATGTGCAGACTGTCCCCCTGTTTCCCACGCCATGGCCAGTGAGGCCAGTCACAGGAGAGCTCCAACCTCTCCGCCTCAAATGTCAATGACCCATGCCTCCCAGGATCAGTGTCTTGGCCCCCCAGGGTAAAGGGGGTCGTTTCATGCAATCACAGCCCAATGCCCCCTTTGGAATTCTATGATAGTAGCAGTGGGGAGGGTGCTGGGCAGACAAAACGGTAGATGTGCTTAGCAAGGCCATGGACAAATGTTCATGACAAGTTCAGGGGCGAAACAGGCTACGAATTGGAATGTACACTACGATCCCAAGTTCAGCTTTGAAAAATGAGAAAGGAACAATCTGAGAAGTTGGAGCTCTCCTTACTGGAATCATGAAATGCAGCTGCAATTTCCCTGTCACCATCTCTTTGTCTTTCTGTCTCTTTTGCAGATAAATTTTATAATTCTTGCTCTTCTGAATTTTCTAAATTTCCTGGAGCAACTATATAATTTTAGTGTTGTTGTTTTTTTTAATGTTAAAATGTAGAAACACTCTGGGCTGAGAAACTTCTTAATAGCTAACTGCTGTTCTTATTTCTTGGGGTTGGCTAGTCCAGGGTGATGGTGAGCAGGTCAGTGATTCTCTACTTTGTCTCTCTTTCGTTTTCTGTCCCCATCTTCCCTTGTCCCCCTCCCAACTCTTCCCCATGTGTGTTTTGGTCCTTGGCTCTCTGGCAGAAGAGGAAGATGGGCCCTCATCAGATCTGGGAACCTCGGCCAGTACGAAGAGGACCTCACTGAGCCTAGGGATCTCGGTCACATCCAACCTGGAAGAGCGGCACCTCCCTATGATGGAGTCCAAGACCTACCCAGATGAAGAGGAAGATGAGGAGAGCCTGGAAAAAATAACGTTTCAAAGTAAACAAGCATTTTAATGTTTTGGTACCGGTTCTCTCCACGCAGAGATGGGAAGACTGTTCAGCGCCTTTTCACTTTTCTCCCTGAAATGCACCCTCAAGCCTTCTAGCCCTACTGGGTATTAATTCTGCAGTATGAATATGCCATCAATTATTCAGCCATCTCCTGTCATGTTGCAAATTCAGTTAGTGTCTAGTATTATTTTTTCAGCAGGGCTGATTCCCCCAAAATAGAGTTAACAGTCAGAGAGTAACTGAGTATTTTCAATTCTAGTAGCTGTGGACAAATTATTAGCCAAATAAGGCCCTCCTATATGCCGAATGGGGGAGGGAGAACATTTGCCGCAGATGATTTGTCATTGTAAAACAACAGTGTCAAGAAAAGGAAAAGTTGTTCCCTTTTCTCTCAGACCATGTGAATTCTGGGCGTGTCCACATGCACTCACTTGCACACGTATATTTTTAATTTGCAGCTGACAAGTTACAGAGCATTGACAGCCACTCCACAGAAGAAGTTGGAGAAGTAGAGAACAACCCTGTAAGCAAGGCAATCGCTCGCCACCTGGGCATTGATATTTCTGCAGAAGGCCGCATGGCCAAGAACAGGAAGGGCATCGCCATCGTCGTCCATGGGACGCCCTTGGCCGGTATGCACAACCCTGAAGGGTCACCCCTTTGGGCTTTATGGTGAAGTTTGCACATGTAATTTTTGAGACAATAAAAGACTCTTTTTTTAGAAATTTGTATACCACAGGACTATCCCCAAACTATTCAATTGCCAAGGTCAGAGGCACAGGGTTAGAAAAAGAGCAGGGACCCCTTATTTTTAATTAATACATCTCTGAATTGTTTGAGCTTATATTCTTTCAATAATTTAAAAAAACATTAAAATATTAAAGAAAAATCCAAGACATTAAATAATTTAAAAAGGGGGAAATATGTGCAAACCCTTTGAACTGGCAGTATTACTTCTATAGATTTATCTTAGGAAAATATTTAACAATGTAGACAGAGATTAACTGCATGAATGTCCACTGCAGCATTGCTTACCATAATAAAAAATTGGGAGCAATTGAAGCATTCAGTATGGAAGACTGGTAAATTAAGCCTTAGTACATTCATAGAATAAGTTATTTTGCCACTAAAAACAGTGTTTCAGGCACACATGTTCATAGCAGCATTACTCACAATAGCCAAAAGCTAGAAACAGCCCAACCGTCCATTGACAGATGAATGGAAAAACAAAATGTGGTCCGATGGGCTATTATTCAGCCTCAAAAAGGAGGGAAATCCTGACGCCTGCTACAACATGGATGAACACTAAGACATGATGCTAAGTGAAGTTATCACCAAAGGACAATTGCTGTATGACTCCACTTATATGAAGTACTTAGAGGAGTCACCCTCATAGAAACAGAAAGTAGAGTGGTGGTCTCCAGGGACTGGGGAAAGGGAAGGATGGGGGCTTATTGTGTAATGGGTACAGAGTTGCCATGTGGGAAGATGAGAAAGTGCTGGAGCTCAATGGTGGTGATGGTCACACCACAATGTGCATATAATGCAACTTAACTGTACACTTAAATATGGTTAAAACAGCAAATTTTGTATATCACCACAGTTTTTTCAAAGTGCCGTAGAAGTATATCGAATGAATAGAAAGATGTTCATGATACATCATTTTAAGTGAGAAAAAATGTCATACTTAGGATTTGCAATCTGAATTAATTTCCTATTGTTACTGTAACAAATAGCCACATACTTTGTAGGTTGAAACAATGCAAATTGACTTTCTTTCTGAAGATCAGAAATCTAAAATATGTCAGTAGGGCTGCATTCCTTCCAGAGGCACATAGGAGAAGATCCATTTCCTTGTGTTTTGTAGCTTCTAGAAATGTCACCTTCATTCTTTGGCTCAGGGCCCCTTCCTCTGTCTTCAAAAACAGCATCACAGGAGCGCCTGGGTGGCTCAGTTGGTTAAGCATCTGACTCTCAATTTTGGCTCAGGTCAGGATCTCAGGGTCATGAGATCAGTCCTCACGTTGGGCTCCACACTCAGCAAGGTGTCTGCTTGAGATTCTCTCCCTTTCCCTCCACCCCTCCCCCTGCTCATGTGTTCTCTCTCTCTCTCTCAAATAAATAAATCTTAAAAAAAAAAAAAAAACAGCGTCATAGCATCCTCCACTCTCTCTTCCTTTGCTTCATCATCACATCACCTGTTCTGACTGACCCTCCTGCTTGCCTCCGTAAGGGCCCTTGGGATTACATTGGCCCACCCAGATAATGGAGGATAATTTCCCTAATCAGGATCCTTAACTTAATTGCAACTGCAAAGCCACTTTACCACATAAGGTAACATATTCACATGTTGCAGGCATTTGGATGTGGATGTCTTTGGCAGGGGTGGTCCTTGTTCAGCCTACCATAGAACCTGTTTCTTTTTCCTAAGAAATGTAAATAAATTAGTTGTATATGCATACTTAGCAGCCATATGCTAACTGTAATATCTCTGGATGAACAAATTATGGATCTTTTTTTTCCCTTTCTCCTGTTTGTTATTTGTATTTTCTGCTTTCTTTTTAATGAGCAGATATTTTGAAATGAGAAAAAAAAAAAAGATCAACACAAGTTATTCTTTAAACCAAAAAAGTCTTCCCATTAGAATCAGAGATAGTAGAACTACAAAAAAAATTTTTTTTAAGATTTTATTTATTTATTTGAGAGAGAGAGAGAGAGAAAGAGAGAGCACCCAAGAGCAGGGGGAGGGGCAGAGGGAGAGGGAGAAGCAGACTCCCCACTGAGCCCGGAGCCCGATGACAAGGGGCTCAATCCCAGGACCCCGGGATCATGACCTGAGCTGAAGGCAGACACTTGACCCACTGAGTCACCCAGACGCCCCTAGAGCTACAAAATTTTTAAAGATCATCTGACAGAATCACCTTTTAACTGAGGAGAAAATTCAGAGAGGATGTGTTTTGCCCTCACACTGCACACAGCATGCTGGTGGTGGAATGAGAACCAGAATCCGTGTGGTTCAGGTCTTCCCTCTGTTTTCTGCTCCCACCTCTGGCCACATTAGAGACTTAAAGGCAGAGCACTTGGAGAGATCACTTTATAGGGGTCTCCATTCTAGAAGTTTCTTCTGTCTAGAACACTCAGCCACTGAGAGCCGGGAAATTCAACCTCCTGACCCTTTTTTGCAGGAAAGACGGCCACTGCAATCAGTATGGCCAAATACTACAACGCAGCCTGCTTGAACATTGACTCCATCGTGCTGGAAGCCATCTCCGATGGCAACAACATCCCGGGGATCCGGGCCCGGGAGCTCTGCATCAGGGCTGCCATAGAGCAGTCCATAAAGGAAGGAGAAGAGTCTGGTAAGAGCTATTTCCCCTGACTTTCTGTGGTCAAGTGCCCGGCACCCCTGCTGCTAATACCCATCTTCCTTGTGTCCCCCACTGAGCTTTTTGCCCCACGCCCAGTTGAAGGCTGACTTACAACATGCTGGCAACTTATAGCCCGAGGAAGAATTCTCTCCACCAAGCATCTACAGCTCTCCCTGCTGCCCAGTACAGGCATGCACTTGGCACTACAGGGAAGAGGACAATGAATAAGATGCAGCCTACACCTTTGAGGGTGACCCGTGAAAGGGGAGCAGATGGGTTTGTTCGGAGCAGAGGGAAATAATATAACAGGAGGGCAACTTTGGGATGGCTGGGTTCCAATAGGCAGGATCTCGGGAAGTTTTCGTGGAAATGAGCTTTGAAGGAGCAGGAGAATGTTGACAGGCAAAGATGAAGACAAGGAGAGTCCAGCCCAAGAAATCAAGGAAGTCAACAGTAAATTAGAAGTGGAAAGGCAGGCTGAGGCCCATCATAGTTGACCTTGGTTCCTGGATTAGGAATTTGGATTTTATTTTGAAGGAACAGAGGAGTAGGGTGGTTTTCACCCTCAGGGAGAAATGGTCAGAGAGTCACAGTGGAAAAGCAGCAGGTCTTATAACGTCTTGTAAAGGGAGCAGTGGAGATGCTGAGGAGGAGCAGGCTTGGACCAGCTGCCCTGAGGAGGGGGAAGCATTCCAGACGGTCACATCAAGATTCGTAGTCCTGGAACCAGGAGGAGAGTGATGTTGTTTACCAAGATAGGAAATGTGGGAGAAGGAGAAAGTTTGCTGGAGAGGAAAATTAATTGAGTTTTGGAACCTCAGTGTAGTAAGGCCTGGTGTGGTGTACCTACCAGAGGTTGGGAATCCTGTCTCCTAGAAGGACCTAGAAGGCAGGGCAATGGCTGCTCAATGGGAAAATATACTGAAGTAGAGTGACTGCTCTGAGCGGAACAATTTTTATATAAATATTCGTAACAGCATACTATCATTTCTTTCTTTCTTTCTTTCTTTCTTTCTTTCTTTCTTTCTTTCTTTCTTTCCTTCTCTTCTTTTTTTTTTTTTTCTTTGAGAGAAAGAGAGCAGGGGGAAGGGCAGAGGGGGCAGAAGAGAGAATCGCAAGCAGGCTCCACAACCAGCAAGGAGCCTGATGCAGGGCTTGATCCCACAACCCCGAGATCATGACCTGAGGCGAAATCGAAAGTCAGACGCTTAACCTACTGAGCCACCCAGGCGCCCACATAACATCATCTCTGACAGTGCACCACGTCTGCTAGTTGATTGATAAAAGTGGCTGGGGCTTTGAGGCATGTCCTCTTCCCTTAGTACCTCTGCATGGGATGCTTAGAGAAATAGAGGATTCTTTGCTGGGAAGATAAGAGAAATAGCTTTTTAGTAGTATAAGGGAGGAAAAATAATTTTCTCTCTGTCCTTCTGAGTTCTTGGCTAAGACTCTATAATAAAAGATTCACAAGAAAAAAGCAAATTTATTAACATGTATCTTTCATGTGTACACAGGAGATACTCAGGAGGAAATGAGGTGGCTTACAATTTTGAATTAAATTCCATCTTCACAGGGAAAGAAGAGGAGGGAGGTAGTCCTCTTAGGGGAGAGCAAATGAGTTTTAGGGAAGATGAATGAACCCACAGAAGAATAGATGAGGGTAGATAGTTTGTAACAAGTGTGTCTTGGTGGAGGGTGTTGCCCTCTAGTCTCCTCTCCTGTGAGGAGTCGATCCTCCCTGGTTGATGTAACTCCCAGGGTGAGGATTTGTGACAATTGAGTTCCCTTTGGATGCCTCTCTTTAGGCAGACAAGGGAAGTTCAGAGAAGGCTTCTTCTGGCATTTGCCCACAGCTCAAGTGACCACAGCTCAAAAGAGAGCAGCGTATTTTGAGGTGGCATATCCAGAATTCCTATAGTCATATTTTGGGGGTGGCCTAGTCTACCTTTAGCGGGAACTCCAAACTACATCATAATTTTGGTTCTCTTAGATATTGGTTTCCTTTTCTCTCAATTAATCTACATTTCACAGAGGTCTTTGGAGCTCTGTTGGTGTCCCATAACAAATTGCGGATTTGGGTTTCCTATCTGAGAAGGTAATGTCAAGCTAAAGACATAACTGAGGGAATCTTCCTCCACATAGCAAGAGGTGCAACTGCTGGGAGAGAGGAAATCGTTCCAGAAAGAGGAGCAGGATGGAAAGGGCAGGATGGGACATTGGGGAACACTTACATTTTAGGAGGGGGGGTGGAGGAGAAGCCAGGAAGTCCAAGAAGGCAGAGCGAGGAGGGTCAGAGGGGTGGGCAGTCAGGAGAGCAGGCCACAGGGAAGCAAGGAGACTGAAGTGTGGGAGGCAGTGGGGCAAGAAGGGCTTTCACACCTCTCCAGAGCCCTGGTGGGGCCTGGGGGACCCTTCCTGCCTTGTTTATCTCATAAGCCTTATCACTGGTTCATATACCATTTACTTGGCTTCCTTATTCTGTCTGCCGACCCCACTAGCGTGTTAGCTGGAAGCAGGGATGTGTGTTAGTGCTCGTCACTGAGGTGTTCCCAGCCCCTAGAATGATGCCTGGCACAGAGTGGACACAGAGTAAAGACTTCCCAAAATGTATCGAATCAGTAAGTGAATGTAGTCAGAGATTGCTCAAAATACAGACAGAATGAGCCCTGAGAGAAGGCCACTGTGGCTCCCAGTTCAGAGGTCACTGGGCACTTTGGAGAAAGCCCTTTCAATGGAGGGGTTAACCCCAAACCTGTACTTGCTGCTCGCTGTGGACGATCCTGCCCGTCCCACACTGCACCCACTGGCCACTTGAAATGTGGTGGCCGGTCCAAATTGAAATGTGCTGCTAGAGGTGGGTTTTTTTTTTTTCTTTTGAGGATGTTGTATGAGTTAAAGGCTATAAAATAACAGTAACAATTTTTATGTGTCGTTTACATGTTGAAACAATCACATTTTGGATATATAGGGTTAAAGAAAATATACCATTAAAATCCATGTGTACTTTTTTGATGTGGCTACTAAGAAATCTTAAATTCCGTACATGTCACGTGTCTGTTGGACAGATGTGGTCCACACTACTGTTTTAGAAGTCGGGCAGTGAGGGAAAGAGAAGAGGTGAAGTGATGATGTCTTGAAAGAAATGAAAGGCGAAATGAAAACTCATATATTATGTATTATGATGTATTATATCGGGAAGAGCCAGCTTTTTTTTTTTTTTTTTTTTAATTTATTTGAGAGAGAGACTGAGATAGAGAGAGCATGGGGGGGGAGGGTCAGAGGGAGAAGCAGACTCCCCGCCGAGCAGGGAGCCCGACGTGGGACTCGATCCCGGGACTCCAGGATCATGACCTGAGCCGAAGGCAGTCGCTTAACCGACTGAGCCACCCAGGTGCCCCGGGAAGAGCCAGCTTTTTAAGAGAGGGCGGAATGATGGCGTGGACAGGGAAAGCTGAGAGGCATTAGGATAGCACAGAGGAGACTGCACAGCCATCAGTGAAGACGGCGTGGCCGGGGGGCGGGGCGCAGGAGGCTGGAGTGGTCCTTGCTTTCACGAGGGCAGAGCCTAGAGGGGCTGGGGGTGACGGGGCCCGGATGAACACAGGACCCGCCAGCCAGACGCTGTACCACTGCTCCACTGGTAGCTTCAGGCTCTTTGCCCGCCACGCTCCACCCACCCCCCACCGCCACCTCCAGGTGCAGCATGGAGTCCTTGTACCTATAATCAGCTCCTGGGGAAGGGACGGAGGGAAGACGCATGAAAAGATAAAGTAGAGTAAGCCTAGTGACAGCTCTCCAGGGAGTTCTGAGGGCCTATTTGCCGAAATGGTTAACAAGGAATAATGAGACTTACCGAGTCCGCCCCGTGTGCTGGAGAAACGTGGAAGCTGCCTAGCACATAGCCGCATCACCCCGTCTTAGTGTTGGGGTCCCAGGGCAGGGCCCTAGTGTACCAGCACTTTCAGAAGTGCTTGCTCTCGGGGCTGGAAGAGAACGTGGGGCCGACTAAAATGGGATCCACTGGGAAGATGGGCAGCGGAGAAACCTGGACTCCAGCCTTGGGGCCTGGAGCCTCTTCTCCCAGCCGTTCCCAGCCAGCTGCAGATGGAGATGGTTTTGTGTTCCTCAAGAGAATCACACCTGTCATACTAGGTGTCTGTGCCATCCCCACTGTCATTTCCTCGGTATCCTCCAATGACTTTTAATATAAGTCCACTCTCTCTGTGTAGCCCAGGAGGCTGCTTCAGGCCAAACTGCTGTGGGACAAATACGTCTGAGCAGTGAGACCCTGGGCAAGCTGACCTCAGAATCCACCCTGGTAACCCCTGAATTTAAACCTACAAAGACTGTGCGTGGGAGCATGATGATCGCCAAAAGCAAGACAGAGAGCCACGGCTCCGGGTCTCAGAAGCAGCATCACCAGCATGCGTCTGAAACGCCGCAGGTACAAATCAGGGTCCCCCCAGACAGAGGGTTGGGGTCCTTCCCCCTGCCTTTCCTCCTCAGCGTCCTGCAGCCGTGGCAGCACGACTTCATCACTGAGGGTGCCCTCTCCAGGCTCATGGTGCCGGTCCTGGAAGGAGTGTGTTCATCCGGCAGGTGTTCAGCAATAACTTTAATGTGAGGCACTGGCTTGAGTGCTAATAGAGTGGAGATAAATGAAGCAAAAATCCCCGTGCTCAAGCTGCACCAAGAGTCTGCTGAAGGAGATAACCACACATTCAAATATTTGCAATACAGTGAGATTGGTGGCAAAAGATGTTTGTAAAAAGAATTCGGTTGAACCATATGAAATGGCCAACAACAGCCATTTCATAGGGCTCAGCCTAATACTAAAGGAATGCTGAGGATGAATCGTAAAAATTGCGCTGGGTGAGGGGTGCTTCACCGGAGTCTTGGAAAGTCATAAAGAAGTCAGAGAGTTTGAGCCTTTGCCAAGGGACTTTGAGAAACCATCTTGGCAGAATAGCAGGTGCTGTAGCGAGAGACAGTGGGTGGCCCTGTGAGAGACAGCGGGTGATGAGTTGTTGGTGGACAAGTGGAGTCAAGTGAGTATAGGCTTCCAAGATGTTTAAAAGAAAAGGAAAAATGACAGAAGTTGTTAGAGGAGCAGACCTAGGGTCAGGAGAGTTCTTTTTCTGAAAGGAGATGGAGGCAAAGCAGTCTCTAAGGAAAGGTGCTCCTGGAGGAGGGTAAGGTGACAATCCTCCCAAGAGGGAATGAGATTCCTGGAGAAGACAAGGAGTGCAGGACAGAGCGCAGTCAAAGGAGACAGGGACCAGCTTCTTCCAGAGTCAGTAAAGGTGAAAACCAATCCAGCTGCCTGTGGGGGAGGCAAGGTGGAGATTGGAGCTTGGAGAAGGTCTTGTTGAGTGGCTCTAGGACGTGTGCAGGACACCAAGTCTTTGTAGGAGGCACTGAGGAGGTTGGCATTGCACAGCATACTTGAGGAGAGTGGCAGAGCACTGATGTGTCCACTGGGAGGAATAAAACCGGAACTGGGTGGTGGACAAAAGAAAAGATAGTTGGGAATTCGGATGTCCCAGCTGAGATGGGAAGCCATAACTTCACTAAGATTTCCCTAAGCATCAAGTGGCAGCCTTCATTTGGAGGGAGAGACAAGTCTTCATTGCAGGGGCAGGAGTGTGCTCAGAACAAGGGGCAAGGGAGGTGGGAGTGGCATCAGTATATAGGAAGTCCAGCCTACAAAGAGAAGGAACAAAGAGGAGGGCAGCAGAGTGGGAGAAGCAGGAAGAGAGGAAGAATCAGTGGGTCTTGTTACTGTCCGAGAGCGCAGTGGGGGGAGTGGGAGAGGTGGGCATCTCGGAGGAGGTTGCTGAGGCAGATGGAGAGGAGGTGAAGGCCCTTGCAGGAGAGGAGGTCCACATGTTGGAAGGGCTAAGTAGGCAGAGTGGAAGCCAAGGTCTTCTTGAGAGAGAAGGTATGCAGATAGGATGGGACCTCCCATGGGGCTGAATTTGTGCCAGATGATGTCTCTGATGTTCACTTCAGTCATGCTTTCTTCTCATACCATGAGAATTGAAGCCATTGACTCACTTCCTTTTGCAGCATCCTTTAACCTTCTCTTTCTCAAGATCTAATATGGTATTCTTTACATAGATGTTTATGAATGATCTAGAACTCATATTTGTATTAAACAGGGTGTCATGGGGAATCATTTTCTTCGATTGGGTTCCATCCATCTGGACAGTGAAGTAAGGCTTTTGAGAGTATATCAAAGGCAGCAGAAAATCCCAATTCTGACCCCAATCCCCTTTCAATAAATAGGGAACTTAAAACCTATTCAAGATTACCCCATCCTCCCCATGCAGCTGCCACAGTGTGACAGGACTCATGCTTTGGACAACAGTCACCCTGTCAGCATGCTTCACCCAGAATTGGCTGTTTGGTTTTCTAAAGCTCTCCCAAAGCATGAATTCTCCAATGACTAAAAGTTTAGTCATGTTGCAAGTGGGAAGAAATATGTAATATGTCATATAATGAAGATATGACCTGTAATACAAGGTCATTTATTTATAAATCACCATGTTCTAGGAGAACACCCGCTGGAAATCCTGGTCTTTTGAATGACATTTAATCCAACACCCACACTTCTCAATTCCACGGCCTCCTCACGAACTCACTGCCATGGTCATGTTCTAGAACTTGTTCATCATTACCCATAAACTCCAAGACCTCTGCATTACACATCCTCCTTCCTGACCACCATCTTCTAACTTTCCAGATGACTTACTCCGGGAAATAATCAGTCCCATGCAAACCTCCAGTCCACATCTTCACTGCCTACCACCCCTTCACTTCTTTTCTTACCCTGTTTGGAATCCATGTCTATCAATGTAGATGCTCCCTTGCCCCTTCCCCTTCTTCATACTCTCCAAGCAAAACTTCAGCCCTGGTAAAACTGATTCTCCGCCTCCTCCATGCAGGGTGGCTGAGCACAGCTAGAGACAATCCTCCTCTCTTCTGAATGGTCTTCATCTAAATTTAAGACCACAAATCTCAAATAGACCCTTTGGTCTGCCCTAGTAAATTCACCCTCCTTCTCTTCAAGAAAACTATTTTATGGAGGTCATCACTCTCCAAACCTCTAAGGCCCTTTCCTGTTCCCCATTCCTAGCTAATGATCTCTCTCCTGACTGCACGGAGGGAGCAGCAACACTGGAAGATGACCACCTGATTCTCCCACCACCAGATCTAGGAGCCAGGCTGCACCCTAGCCCAGCGCTGCACCTTCCCTGCCAGAGTCACCGTCCCGGCTCTCAGCTAAGGCCCTGCCCCTGTGCACTGGACCCTTCCCCCCAACTTCTCACTCAAGAGCTGAATTCCTGCAGTCCTCCCCTCTTTCCTGTTTGCTTTTTGCCCCATCTATTGGCTCCTTCCCATCAGTATCTGTGCATCCTATATTGCTTCCCATCTTTAAAAATACTGCCCCGAGACCCAGATCCCCCTCCAACTATTGCCTCCTCCAGTCAACCCCTCTTCACAGCTGTTCCTCCAAAGAATTGCCTCCCTCCTCATCCTCACCACCCTTCTCTTTTTGACCTATTCTAGGGAGATCATTGTCCTTACCACTCCCAAGGACCACTCCTTTCAAGGTCACTGGCATTCATCTTGCCAGATCCCGGGGCTGGTGTTCTGTCCTCATTTCCTGTGACCTCATAGCAGCTGATAACTCCTCCTTCTAGAAGGGCTTCCTGGCCATGAGAACACCTCACTGTTCTACTTTCCCTCTGCCCCATGAAGGACTCCCTCCTCTCCTCCAGCTTCTTCACCTCCTCCAGATCCTTAGGATTTTAGACTAGACTAGAACTGAGTCATCTACCCTTTTCTTTTTGTTATCTACCTTTTCTCCATAGGTGATCTCATCCAGCTCATGGCTTAAGTACTTAAATATGTTCAGTACGCATGTGACCCTCCAATTTCTATCTCCAACCCTAATTTCTTCCCCAGCTCAGGTGAATACATCCAAACTCACATTCAGTGTCTCTGTTGAATGGCTTAGAGACCTCTCAAAATTTATGTGTCTGAAAACTGATTCTGGCCCACTCCCAGAACAGAACAAGACAAAAAAAATTGCTCTTCCCTCAGTTTTTCCTTTCTTAAGAAATGACTTCATTTTCCAACTTGATCAGGCCAAAACAAAACTCAAGGACTCATTCTTGGTGCCCCTCTTTCTTTCACATCCCCTCCCAAGTCCTCGTGGGATGGGATGTGAAGGAACGTATCAGCCACTTCTCCCCACCTCCACCATGACCATCCGCAAACTACCACCATCATTTCACTAACTAACTAACTAACTAACTAATTAACTAGTCTTCCTGCTTCCACTCTTGTCACCCCAAGCAGCAGGCACCGTGGTCTTTCAAAAATAAAACTCAGGGGCGCCTGCGTGGCTCAGTTGGTTAAGCAACTGCCTTCAGCTCAGGTCGTGATCCTGGAGTCCCAGGATCGAGTCCCACATCAGGCTCCCCGCTCAGTGGGGAGTCTGCTTCTCCCTCTACCCTCTCCCCTCTCATGCTCTCTCACACTCTCTCAAATAAATAAATAAAATCTTTAAAAAAAATAAAAATAAAAAAATGAATAAAACTCAGATCACGTGTCTGCCTGAAACATGCCAACAACTTCCCAAAACACTTGGGATAAAATCCAAGTTCCTCCCTGTGCTCTGCAAGCCCTGCATATTCACACCCAATTATGCCTTAGACTTTGATGAAGCCCGGCCATCTCCCTCATCGCTCACTCAGTCCATTACGCCGGGCTCCCATGTACTCCCCAGATCCCGGCAAGTGCACTCATGTTATTGTCCAGTTCTGTCACCGCTGTCTGTTCTCCCTGGCACTTGTCACTGCCTGAGACTGTTGATTTGTATATTCACATGGCCCTTTTCTGTCTGCCCCATTTGCAATAAGGACCACATGGGCAGCAACGTTGCCAGCCTGTTTATTGTTGTATCCCTAGTGCTAGAGGGGTCCCTTGTGCACAATAGATGCTCAATTAATATTTCTTGAATGAACAAATTCATGCTGTTCAGTCCATATACAAAGCACCTTCCACAGTGTCTCAGCTTGAAGCTCACAGCCATTCTTTAAGGAAGATAGGAATTTTCCATTTTACAATGCAGTCCGCATCTTACGGATAAGAAATGAGGCCCAGAGAGATTTCAGGATTTCCGAGGGGTCAAATGGCTTGTAAGTATGAGAGCTGCTGGGACACCACGCTGGATTCTAACTGCTGATCCTTTTCCGGCTTGACAGGTTTCCTCCAGCCCCCTCCCTACAGGGCCCACGCAATGCCGGCTCAGTGTCAGCCCCAGTGTCGGAGGTGAGACCGGGCTCATGAGCTGTGTGCTCCCTGAGGACCTACTCACCCAGATCCTGGCTGAGCGCATCCAGGTGCGTCTATGCCCACCCGTGCAGAGCTGCAGGGCTCACACTCCATCCCTGGGCTGGGAGCTGAGATTCCGATCCATAGCTCACCCACGGCAGCTCAGAACCCGGGGGCCCTAGAGAGGAAAGATGAGTTTCTTCATCTCCAACAGTCATTTGCTTGTCCTTTTGACAACCCTGGTCAGTCCCTGGCCCTGGCGTGGTCTCCAGCCTGAAGCCATGAACCTTAAAAGACCAGTGAGCAGGTTACATATTAAAAAAAAAAAAAAAAATCAGTCATGATACAGCCCTATAGTAGTGTATTAAAAATCATAACGTGGAGCCATGGAAAGTTAGAATTTAGAACTATATTAATTGATGTAAAAATTTGTCTTCAATATATTATTATTTTTTATTAGTATTAACATATAATGTATTATTTGTTTCAGGGGTGTCTTCAATATATTATTAAATGAGAAATGCAGATTATGAAATAATATATAAAGCACAAGTACATTTCTATAAAAGTATTTCTAAATGTATATCATACAAACATAGTAAAAACCCCTAAGGCACATGTAACTGGTTATCTTTGGTTAGCAGGATAATGGATTCTTAGTTCTCGCCATACATTTCTGAATTATTTCACAATGGCAGATTGCTTTTAAAGTCAAGAAACACAGTAACTGTTTCCCTTTTTTTTAATTTTTCATAAGTGTTATACAGTTAAAGAAAAGAAAAGAAAATCATCAGGAATGGGGAGGGTACCACTTAAGCCTCTTTGCTGCTTATGGTTTACAGAGAGCTAAATTGCTCACCAGGTCCTGGAGTTGTCCATTTGCCTTGGTTTTTTTCGAACTAGGCCACAATATTGCACGTTTAAATATAACAAAACGGGGCCTGGAGCTTCCCAAGAGAAGAGGAATGTCATCACAGGAAATGGCTCGTGTTCAGGTTTAACTGCTTACTGTGTTCAGGGTGCTGGGCCCCTCAGCGGGTTTGAGCAAGGTGGGCCAGTCAAGTGTGCAGGTATGCCACGGACCCGGCTTAAACCACCAGCCAGCCTAAAGCGGGCCCGTAGAGCTGAACCACTCAAAGCACTGTACCTGGATGAAACATGGAGCTCGCACTGCTTCCCTGATCCACAGTCTTGCTACAAAGAAAACAAACAAAAAAACAGCAGCTGAAGTAAATGGTGTCTTTAGTGATGTGGTTGATTGACGTTGTGACACAAGATTCTTGTCTCATCAAAAACTGGTACTGACGGGGCGGTTAAGCGTCTGCCTTCGGCTCAGGTCATGATCTCAGGGTCCTGGGATCGAGCCCCACGTCGGGCTCCTTGCTCAGCAGGGGGCCTGCTTCTCCCTCTCCCTCTGCATGCCACTCCCGTGCTTGCTTGCTCGCTCGCTCTCGCTCTCGCTCTCTCAAATAAAATCTTAAAAAAAAAAACATAGTGATCAGCCCCTGGCCAGGGGAGGCCCGTGTGTGTACTACCCTTTGAGTAACACTGCGGTACAGCAGAGGGCGCCCTTCAACGATTAATGTGATCGAGATCATTACCCACCAAGGCATTAATAACACTGAGAAAGATACAAATGGCCCACCTGCTCCTGCTGCCCTTGCTGTCTGTTATTCGGTGCAGGGGAATATCTCGCCTTTCCATCTTCCATCCCTGCACCTCAGACCCTCCCAGACCCTCACTTTCACATTATGTTTGCCTCCCTTATTTCCGTAACAACAGAATCAGTCTATCACTCTACAAATACATATGATAAAGATCTGTCACGACTGATAAACTATTTGGGTGTTTCTCTTGTATTTTCTAACAGCACGTTGAACGTAGCAGGTGGAAGGGTGGTTTCACGGTATTTTCAGTGGGGCCCAGTAGGTCTGCAGAACCAGTTGCAGCCCCAGGGAAAGTGCCGACAGAAGAAGGAGCAGCGTTCTCTGTAGAGAACTGGGTAACGGAGGCCCTGGTAACCGTCTTTGCTCACTGCGGTTTCAGCTGAGTGACTGCTTCCGGGGAGTGGTGTTTGACAGCCTTGAGACGCTCTTCGCTCAGAACATAGCCGTGGCTCTCCTCTGCCTGCTGAAGGCCATCGGCAACCGGGACCACATCTATGTCGTCAACATGGCCCAGGAGTACACAGCCATGAAGGCCCAGGAGAAAGCCAAGAAGGAGCAAGAAGGTAAGGCCCCATGCCCTCCTGGGCCATCCCTTTGGCAGAGCTGTGGGCTGTGTGAAATGGTTCCCCGCCAGGATGACCTGTTGGGCAGAGGACACTATTCCATCTGACATGTCGTCAGGGCTCACCTCCACCCTATAAGGTGGCTGGCAGACGCAGGCGACCTGTTCAGAGATGACAGGATGAGGGATGAACCCAGCTGGCTCTTCTCGTAACAGCCACATTCCCCTTTCCCCCCAATATCACCCTGCATCCTTTCGTCTTCTCTGTAATCACAGCCAACCCAAGGGGAACGCATCACCGGTCCCATCCTGACTCAGGTGACCCATTAGCTGCTTGCTTTTGTTTAAGGCGACTGGGCATTTCCTGCCAAATTGGAGGTGCTGATAAACTTTACAAACCAGTTTCTACATTTTAGCCTGCTGCGTCCAGCCACCACAGCGAACATTCTGTACATTTGAAATGTCTCTAAATGGTGCTTGGGGTTATTTAATCCTCCCAATAACTCTGAAGATCATTGTCCCCCTTTTACAGACAAGGAAAATGAGGCTCAGAGATATCAAAAGTCTTGTATAAGATCACACAGCACAGGGGTGCCTGGGTGGCTCAGTCTTTTAAGCATCCGACTCTTGGTTTTGGCTCAGGTCATGATCTCAGGGTCATGGGATCAAGCCCCGCATCAGGCTCAGCGCTCAGTGTGAGTCTGCTTAAGATTCTCTCTCTTCCTCTCCCTCTGCTCTCCCCCCCACTCATGCCCTCTCTCCCTCTCTCTCTCAAATAAATAAATAAATCTTTTTTTAAAGATCACACAGCAAATTAGTAAAGTCTGTGCAACCCTGAAACCTTTGCATTTTCTGTCACTACAACAGTGGCCTGAAAAAAATTTCAGAGACTGAAAAATAAATACACACATATAGAGTAATGTTAGCTTGAGTTCCCACTTTGGTCAGAAGCAGACGTAGCAAATCTTGGTCCCCAAGGGAGGCTGTGCTATCCCTGGGAGGCAGAGTCCTGCTCTGGCCTCAGCTCTGGTCACATCACTGCCCTTCCTCACTTGGCCTTACCTCTCTCTTCTGGAAAAATCTACACAAATCATAATGCTTTTCCATTTAAGGAAATAATTACAAACATGAGCTCTTAGTTCTTAAACAGAGCTCAAAGACTCCTTCCTTACATTCTCATCCAGAGAAAAATTAGGAAGAATTACCAGGCATCCCCAGCAGTGTTCCAACCTCCAGCTTCCTGGTTTTCCAGAAAGCTCATTTCTCCGTAATCATCACCTTAAAAGAAAATATCTCTTTCCATTTTCTCAATTACCTGCGGATTGAAGTTTTTCACAGTCTCATTATGGGCTCCTCTCCCCAAAATCATCTGCATTTGAAAAAGTCCTGAGGCAGCATCCAGTAACGATATTATTATATTAAAATCTAATTTTTACTGAACATTTATGAATTTGCTGGGCACTAGCCTAGATGCTTTACAGGATTACTTATTTGATCCCCACCACAGCCTGGGAATGAGGAATCATTATTCTTACCTGTTTCTCTTCCTTGGTGTCAGAGAAAGATCTCCAGATACATCTCCTTGAGTCCAAAGCTCAAACCCCCAAGAATGGAAGGTGGGAAGTTATGCTGGTGAAGCGTGAAAAAGAGGCCGAGAGCCTTTGTGCTGGGTGCGAACCTCACTTCTGGACCTGGAGTCTGAAGGGTGTGGGAGATGGCGCCCTTTCATCTGCAAATGGCTCTGTCACCCTAAGGACTCTGGTGGCAGATGTTCCTCATAGATAAAGTCAGTGGGTGGCCTATTACTTCCCTATCGCTGCAGTAGCAAATTACCACAAACTTGATGACTTCAGACAACACAGATTTACTGTCTTACAGTTCTGGAAGTCAGAAGTCCTAAAAGCAGGGTGTCCACAGGGCTCCGTTCTTTTGAAGGCTCCAGGGAGAGAATCCTTTCCCTTGCCTTCTCGAGCTTCTAGAGGCCACCTGCCTTCCTCAGCTCGTGGTCCCTACTTCACAGCCTTCTGACCTCTGCTTCCATCGTCTCCTTCTCAGACTCTGACCCCCCTGCCTCCCTCTTACAAGGACCTTTATGATTATACTGGGCCCACTCAGACAATCCAGGACCGTCTCCCCAGTTCAAGGTCCTTAGCGTAACCACATCTGTAAAATCCTCTCCATCATGCCAGGTCACATATTCATCCTTCTGGGAATTAGGACATCTTTGGAACTGCTATTCCAGATGGAGACCAGGTTTGGAACTGTGTGAGTGAAGGTCGGCCCACCAGAGATCAGGAATGCCACTGCGGCTGGAGCCCCCTCCCCCTGGCGCGGACCCTCTGCAGCCTGTGTGGGCTGGGAGCTAAGCCACTGGGGGACCCTGCAGCCAAGGGTGAGGAGTTACCTTCCCTCACCTTCCTGTCTCTGTTCCCTCCAGAGCACAAACGCAGGGAGGCACTTGAGAAAGAGAAGGAGCGTCTCCAAAATATGGATGAAGAAGAATACGATGCCATGACAGAGGAGGAGAAGATCATGTTCAATCGAGAGGTTCAGCAGGCCCTCCGTGAGAGGAAAAAGAGGTCAGAATCAAGGGCTCGCTGGAGCGGAAGTGTTTCCTTTGGGAGTAACACACAGCCCATCCTGGAGACTAGGGTCACCTTCCAGGGGAGCAGCAATGGCCAAGGGAGACTCAGGAGGATGACCTGCTAAGAGAGAGAGAGAATGAAGAGGAGTGTGGCTTTCAGTTCCAGCACCATGGCCCTAAGCTAGCCATTAGGGACTGCTATTTATAACGCGATTTCTTGTTGTCTGAACATCAGATGTGACAGTGTAGGAAGCTGGGCCTCATCTGAACTGATATTTATTCCTTTGAGAGAGAGAGAGAGAGTGTGTGTGTGTGTGCGCGCGTGCGCATGAACAGGGGAAAGGGCAGAAGGAGAGGGAGAGAGAAAGAATCTCCAGCAGACTCCCCGCTGAGTGCAGAGCACGACATGGGGCTCCACATGGGGCTCGACCCAGGGCTCGATTCCATGACCCTGAGATCCTGACCTAAGCTGAAATCAAGAGTCAGACACTTAACTGATTGTGCCACCCAGGCGCCCCTGAAAGTTACTTTTCAAAAACTGTTATCAAGCTTATTTTCAGCCCTTGCCTTGCTCTCCTATGCAAGTAGATTGGAATAGAAATACAGACGGAGAATTCCTCTTATTTATTCCTCAAACTCATTTGAGTTCATCAGTTTTGCTGAATGACCATTCAGAGACCCTCCTTTCTTTCCTTCTTTCCTTCTTTCCTTCCCTCCCACCCACCCTCCCTTCTTCCTTCCTAACTCCCTTCCTTCCTTCCTTCCTTCCTTCCTTCCTGCCTTCCTGCCTTCCTGCCTTCCTTCCTGCCTGCGTATTTACCCAGATTTCTTTTGTTCACTCTTTCTTTTTATGCCCAAGGAAAACTGTTCCCATGTCCTCCCTCCCTCCCTCCTTTCTAACTCCCTCCCTTCCTTCCTTCCTAACTCCCTCCCTTCCTTCCTTCCTCCCTTCCTTCCTGCCTTCCTGCCTTCCTATTTACCCAGATTTCTTTTGTTCACTCTTTCTTTTTATGCCCAAGGAAAACTGTTCCCATGTCCTCCCACCAGACACCCCAAAACAGAGGAGGGGCTCAGGGCAGGGGCTCTGAACTCTGTCTCCTCTGCCTGGTTTGATGAAGGGAGCTGGAGAGGCTGACAAGGGAGATGCGTGAAAAGAAGCTACAGCAGGAGCTCGAGCGGCAAAAGGAAGAAGATGAGCTAAAACGGAAGGTTAAAAGGCCAAAGCACAGACCAGTGAAGGAGGAACCTCTCCCAAAGAAATCTCAAACAAACCGGCAGGTAGCGACCCTCCCTTGCTCCTTACCAAGAGGCAGAACAGTGAGCAGCCACTGTAACCAGCCCATCAAGCCAGTACATTTCCCTTCCAGAAAACCGGCCTGATACTGTTTGCATCTTGTGGTAGAGCAGGAGGTAGGAGGGAAGGGGCCACCATTGGTTGAAAGCTGATTGTGTGCCAAGAGCTCTCCTGCACTTTATTTTGGCCCCCCTCCCGCCCTGCGGGGTTCAGAGACATGAGCCCCGTCTGGGGCCGAGAGAGACAGTTCCAGGACCCCACCCAGTTATGTCTGACCACAGTCCTTGCTCTTTCCACTGTGCCGCCAAGTCCCCTGGATGCTGCTGAATAGGCTGGTATTAACAGCTGGCCTCCAGTGAGCCACAAAGTCAGTGGAACCCCTGTGTTCAACCAAGAGCTTATCTTGACAACCGTCAAGGAAGACACTCTAACATCAGCTTGTCCTTGCGGACATGTGGTGGTAGTTTATCTGCCGGCCAAGCTTAGCAGTCACGTCTCTGCTGCCCTGACCCGGGAGACGTAGAGCGGCCAGGGTGGCGCTCACAGCCCAGCAGGGTAGCTAGCTGGCTGGTGTGCACAGCGAAAGCCAGGCTCCCAGACAAGGTGCAGATTGGTCCCAGTAGGTGAGACAGTGACCACATCTGGGTAGACGTGAGAGCAGAGGAATTCGTGCCCAGGGGTCACAGTCCAGTAGAGCTCAGGAAGGAGCGGGGTCTGAGCGTGCAGAAATGGCCCAGGCTTGGGAGCAGGAACAGCACGAGAAGCATGCAGGCCTGGAGTCTAGCCTGTCATTGGTCTGTGCCGGGCTCCCAAAATCTTCCAAGTGTAAGCCCTCCCTACCCCTCTGCAGCCCCTCCTTCCACACAAAGTCCTCTGCCTGAAATCTCATGTCCAAACAGAACTCTCTGGGTCTTGGCAGTGACTCTTACTGACGATGGAGAAAGAGACAGTAGTGGCCAAGCCCCCTGCCTCCTCAGTGAGCGACCCCTCCAGGAGACAGCTGTGCCACCACAGACCTGTCCACACTCCCCAGGCTGAGTTAGAGATGCAGACAGATGTGGAGGAGGAGTGAGGCCAGGGGATAGCCAACCCTGGCCAGGCCTGCCTCCAAGCCCGACCTTAGGGAGGAGGAGCGCTGTCATCCAGAACAGGGACTCTGGGCTGTCCTGCCAGCAATCATCATTAGACTCGACTGGATTTTATGTCACCAAAGAATGACCAGAAACCTCTGGAGCCTCCCCAAGGATTTCATCCAGGGGAGAAGAAAATCAGAGCCCACAAAGCAAGTTTAGAAAGAGAAAAAGAATCAAGTTAGTTTCTCTATGCCAGGTTACGTAAATAAATACATATTTTTTTAAGATTATATTTATTTATTTGACAGAGAGACAGCGAGAGAGGGAACACAAGCAGGGGGAGTGGGAGAGGGAGAAGCAGGCATCCTGCCGAGCAGGGAGCCCAATGTGGGGCTCAATCGCAGGACCCTGGGATCATGACCTGAGCCAAAGGCAGACACTTACTGACTGAGCCACCCAGGCGCCCCAATATATACATTTTTTTAAAAAGCCTGGAGCACAGCCACATTCTAAACTCCTGTTTGTTGCCAACAAAGGGCTATGGAGAGGATCTTTTAACAAAGACCCCCAAGGTGATTCTCAGACAGAGCCCTGGTGTAAGCAAGAGGCACCTGGAATCCTGTGAGGCCTCTTTCAGAACAGTGTCATCTTGCGCTTCCTTATGCAGTCTGTTCTCCCTTGAAGAACTGTTTTAAGCATGTTTTATGTGTTTTGCTTTTTAGGTTCTTACTTTTTCCAAACTAGAGGTCAAGATGGATGCACTAGAAAGGAAAGTATCTGTTAGGGAACATTTAAATGAGAAGGACGATCTAAGCAAGAGGAGAAAGAACCAGCTAGGAGATATCCACATGCTCGGGTTTCCCCTTGCCCAGGAACAAGAGGACAGCGAAGGGGACCTCCTGAAGGATGCTGACAAGCACTTGGCCCAGAAGTTTAAGACCTATGAGTTGACTCTGAAGGATATTCAGAACATCCTCATGAACTGGGACCGGAAGCAAGGCATTCTGGTGCATCACACTGGCGCCGAGGACATGCCCCACGAGCCTGACGACCAGCGCCAGGTTCCGTCAGGTGGGCGCCGAGGCCGCAAGGACAGAGAGAGGGAGCGTGCGGAGAAGGAGAGAGCCGAGAAGGAACGCCAGGAGCGGGAGAAGGCCGAGAGAGAGCGTCTAGAGAAGCTCAGGGCACTGGAGGAGCGGAGTGACGGCGGAGAGGGGGAAGGAGGGGAGGAGGACCACCACGAGGGGAAGAAGGATCTGGGTGTGCCATTCATAACCGTCCAGACGCCCGACTTCGAAGGCTTGAGCTGGAAGCTGGCCCTTGAGAATGACAGGCTTCCCAAAGGGGATCAGGTACAGAATCTTCTCCAGGATGGAGACATAATCAGGTAGCGGGTACTGTGCTAAGCGCCATTAAAGTGTTCCTTTCTGTACCCATTTCATTCCATTAATCTCTGAGGCCCCCTTGGATATGAGACAACAGTGGCTAAAAGGACCTTTTGCTAGTTGGTGAAAATCCAGAGAAAGTTCCGCAGATCTAAATTATTCCATCTAACCTCATAAAAAACTGCCTGTAGAGTTTTTGTTTGTTTTAGTTTTTATTTAAATTCTAGTTAGTTAACATGTAATATAATACTGGTTTCTGGAGTAGAATTTAGTGATTCATCACTTACGTATGACACTCAGTGCTCATCCCAACAAGTGCCCTCCTTAATACCCATCACCCATCCCACCCATCCCCCACCCACCTCCCCTCCAGCAAACCTCAGTTTGTTCTCTATCATTAAGAGTCTCTTATGGTTTGTTTCCCTCTCTCTTTTTTTTTCCTTCCCCTATGTTCATCTGTTTTGTTTCTTAAATTCCACATGAGTGAAATCATATGGTATTTGCCTTTCTCTGACTGACTTATTTTTTTTTAGTAGGCTCCATGCCCAACATGGGGCTCAAACTCATGACCCTGAGATCAAGAGTCGCACGCTCTACCAACTGAGCCAGCCAGGCACTTCTCTCTGATCAACTTATTTCACTTAGCATACTACTCTCTAGCTCTATCCACATTGTTGCAAATGGCAAGATTTCATTCTTTTTGATGGCTGAGTAATATTCCATTGTATATATGCCACCTCTTTTTTATCCATTCATCAGTTGATGGACATTTGGGCTCTTCTCCATAATTTGGCTATTGTTGATGATGCTGCATGTGCCTCTCCAAATCTTTATTTTTGTATCCGTTGGGTAAATACCTAGTAGGGCAATTGCTGGGTTGTAGGGTAGTTCTATTATTAACTTTTTGAGGAACCTCCAAACTGTTCTCCAGAATGGTTGCACGAGTTTGCATTCCTACCAACAGTGTAAGAGGGTTCCCCTTTGTCCGCATCCTCGCCAACACCTGTTGTTTCTTGTGTTGTTAAGTTTAGCCATTCTCACAGGTGTGATTTGCATTTCCCTGATAATGACTGATGAGCATCTTCTCATGTGTCTGTTAGCCATCTGGATGTCTTCTTTGGAGAAATGTCTATTCATGTCTTCTGCCTATTTCTTAACTGGATTATTTGCTTTTTTGGGTGTTGAATTTAATAAGATCTTTACAGATTTTTAGGGTTGATTTTAAATATTGTTATAGGCTGGCAAGATAGGTATACTGTGGAGTGAAGCAAGAGTCTCAAATACTTGAAAATCTTGTTCCCACAAGCTTCCTATGGTGACAGAAATCATACTATTAGATAGCTTTTTGTTCCTACCAAATATTGCATAGCCAGAAGCTGCTGGGTGATGATTTGAAGGAGACGGTTATTATAGCATTTTGTCCAGAGATGAGCTTTTTCTGCAAAACACCAGAAAGCAAATATTTTAGGCTGCAGGTCCACAACCTCTGTCACAACCACCAACAGCATGTAAATCAATGGACATGACTCTGTCCCAGTACAGCTTTATTTACAAAAGCAGGTAGCGGCCAGATTTGACTAGGGGGCCACAGTTTGCTGATTTCTAGTTTAGTTGGTAAGAAATTAGACGCAACCTTAACAGGGAGAGAACAGAGCCTGGGAGGAACATTTGGCAGGTGAGAGTTGATGGGAAAACACGGGTAATTCCTCAAGGGGGCGGATTGGGGTGTGATGTGGCCTCACAACCAGAGTCTTGCTGCAGTGGTCCAGGTGGGCCGAAGGGCGGAAGACAGTTGGGGGACACATGACACCAAACCACTCGTTTCACACAGCCTCCGCTCAGCCCAAGGGGAGGACTCATGGCCACTTTTCTCCCCAGAAATATGTTTTTTGAAAAAGAACCTCTTCTCGTCTTGTTTTATGTTCCAGTACTATAGCCAAGGTTATCTTCTGGCCTTTTCTCATTCTCTCCACACTCCAAGCCACAGCTTAGACTGTTGGTTACAGTTCTTTGCCCCTGGCTCCATTTAATAATTGGTACAAACTATCCGTTCCTTTCCCTCACAGACAGTCAAATCCTGGGAGTTAACGCTGGCTACCCGTTAGTGAGGAAATGCCTTTGGCGGCCTGACCTGCAGGTCAGAAACCCAGGATTCCAAGAACACAGTTGCCTGCTCGGCCTAACTGCCCATGTGGTCCACAGAACGATGCTCCAGAGGGCTGTCACATTTCCTGTTGTGACAATGACTTATGTAGTGAGAGCATGCTTATTCTGAGGGGATTCTATACTGAGAAGGGAGCTGCTGCAAAATTTTCAAGCTGTCTGCTCTGGAGGATGCTCACTCAGTTGATATCAGAGCAGAAGGGGAGAATGATGTAGGAATGAATTTTCTCTCCAGTTTCTTTTTGACTTGTCTCTTCATTCCCATCCTTTACCCAACTCCCAGAACCTTGGCTTATTTTCTTTGCCATATTTGACCTGCTCCAACCCTCACTTACTTTCAGCATCAGAAAGAAAGAACATTTAAAGATAACTGAAAGATTAACATGGGATCTGAAAACAGATGAAACAGCTCTTTACTATAGACATCAGAATCTTTTTTTTAAATTAACATATAATGTATTATTTGTTTCAGGGGTACAGGTCTGTGATTCATCAGTCTTACACAATTCACAGTGCTCACCGTAGCACGTACCCTCCCCAATGTCCATCACGCAGCCACCCCATCCCTCCCACCCCCTCCACTCCAGCAACCCTCAGTTTGTTTCCTGAAATTAAGAGTCTCTTATGGTTTGTCTCCCTCTCTGATTTCATCTTGTTTCATTCTTCCCTCTCTTCCCCTATGATCCTCTGTCTTGTTTCTCAAATTCCTCATATCAGTGAGATCATATGATAATTGGTCTTTCTCTCATCGACTTATTTTGCTTAGCACAATACCCTCTAGCTCCATCCATGTCATTGCAAATGGCAAGATTTCAATTTTTTGATGGCTGCATAATATTCCATTGTATAAATATACCACATCTTCTTTATCCATTCATCTGTTGTTGGACATCTAGGCTCTTTCCATAGTTTAGTTATTGTGGACATTGCTACTATAAACATTGGGATGCACGTGCCCCTTCAGATCACTACGTTTGTATCTTTGGGGTAAATACCCAGTAGTGCAATTGCTGGGTCGTAGGGTAGCTCTATTTTCAACTTTTTAAGGAACCTCCATACTGTTTTCCAGAGTGGCTGCACCAGCTTGCATTCCCACCAACAGTGTAGGAGGGTTCCCCTTTCTCCGCATCCCCGCCAACATCTGTCGTTTCCTGACTTGTTAATTTCAGCCATTCTGACTGGTGTGAGGTGGTATCTCATTGAGGTTTTGATCTGGATTTCCCTGATAGACATAAGAATCTTAAGAGCTGGTACCTAAAATATATTGAGTGCCTGCTATGTGCTAGACCCTGTGCTGTATCACCCCAATTCCTGTCCCAGTGGAGTTTATCACCCAATTGCAGAGACAGACACGCTAAGGTGACTAGGGCCTTGATAAGAGAAGGATAGGGAGCGCACAGCCCACAGCAAGAGCCCCAGCCTGGTCTGGGGGCATGGGGGTCTAAAAAGACCTGCAGAGCTGTGTCACAGACCCTTCACACCCCTTCCCCAACACATGCCCATGGCAGTGGCATCTCCCAAGAATGTTAGGACGAGGCAGAAGGGTCCAAACCACCCTGTGCTCACTCAGGGAGGCAGCTGGGGGCACCCTGCCCTCTGCATCGGGAATTAACCATGGGCTTCTCCTTTAGATCCTGGACATCTTGGGTCTGGGTTCCTCTGGACCACCCATCCCACCTCCTGCCTTATTCTCCATCATCTCCTACCCCCTGAAGCGGCTGCCTTTGACCACAACAGAAATCCTGAAGCATTTCGTGTTTGTGATTCCCCCATCCGAAGAGCTCTCCCTACTGGAGGAGAAAAGAGAAGGAGAAGCAGAAACAGAGCTTTCAGGCACCGTGGGCTCCGGGAAGGTAAGGAGCAAGCCAGCCACTTGTGCTCCTGACCTTGGCAGGACATCAGATGGGCAGACAGGGAAGGTCACCCTCTGCGTGGTCGAAAACAGAGTATGGTGTTTGGTGTCATGCTCACTGACATGTTTGCCCTTGACTCGTTGCAGATCCCGCCTGGGGATCCTACATGAGCCTCTCTCAGAATGACTGACTCTCATCTTCTACCCTTTGCAGTCCCCGTGGGATGGTCTGGGGAACTTGTTGAATTGCTCAGAAGCTCATCTGGGAGAAATAATAAGCAAAAGCAGCTCTTAAAAAAAGACATTAGGATGTATTGGGAAGCTAAGGTAGTTTACACAGTGCATGAGAATGCAAGAATCAACAGACATAAGTTAAGGGAACACACAACACTAGGAAAAGGACAGATTATCAAAGAATTTATGAGTGGGAGATTGGATATTTTGGTAAACTCACTTTTTAGCTTTTTGCCTGATATGATGCAGTAAAATTAATTCCAGTTAGATTAAAAATATGAGTAATCCAAATGAAATCCCATATAAGTGGAAGAAAATAGATATGCAATTAATAGAATAAATCACAAAGGAAAATAGATTTGACCAATAATATGCAGTAAGTATGTATATTAAAACCTAGAGAGGGGTTATTTATTCCCAGAGAAGTATGATAGCCCCAAATTTGAATCTCTCCACACAGCTTCCTACAAAAAGCGCATCAGCAAAGACTAATAAAATCAGCAGGAAATAAAATCATCTCTAGGCCGTGCCTCAGGCTCAATGAGGTGAAGAGACTACCTCAAACTTCTCTTTACAAATAAGTGGGGAATTATCATCTGAGATCAACAGCATGAGTGGACAGACCTTACTAGAACAGAGTCCAAATAAAAAAGAAAAAAAAATTGCCAACCTCAGAGGTGACTATGACACCACCTTTTTCCTTAAAATTAGCCATTAACAGAGAAGGGTTAAGCATTCTTTAACTTACCATTTTAGGAGGAACTCTAATTCATCCCCAGTTGACAAAGGAAAGCTCTTCATTCTAGAAGAATGGCAGCTAAAACTATAGAAAGAAGAGTAGGCTTAGAAAACCTCTATTCTGTTATCCCCAGTGAAGTAATTAAGGAGCACCAACTGATATAAAAGGCAGTGCTTTGTTAGGGAACAAGACCCTCACTGCAAGCCAGAGCATTGTCACACAGGTGACTAGCCAGCTGCCAAAGGAAACGCCCACGTTCTGGAGGCCAGGTCTGGCGGGAGCAATCCCAGCCACGTGAACACAATGCATGTGTAATCATGGGTTGAGGTGGCATTTTTTTGGTCCCTCATTGTGATGGAGTGTGACATATGCAGCATCTTCTATGAATCTAATCAAGCTTTACGCCTAATTTCCAGTTTACAGAAAATACAGGGAATGAAGGAATAAGTGAAATGGTGCTCGAAGAATGGTCAGAAAATTTCAGAGTATGGCATATTCTATAAGAACCTGGTCTGCCCAAAAGTCAGTGTGATTGGGAGGGGGCGAGGGGTCTAGAGTAAAAGGTACTAAAAACACACCACAACAAAACACAGTATAGGAACACTCCCCTGCAGCTTGAAGCTTCCTCTGGGCTTCGGCCTCCTCCTCAGGGAATGGGGTGCCCAAGAAAGCACAGACGTCTCTCTCCTCCTCTTCTCCACTAGTGCAGTAGGCTGGGCCCTCCTCTGCCCTCGGCAGCCGCCAGCATCCGGCTCCTGCAGCGCGCACGTGTTCTAGGCATCTCTGTTTTCCGTTCGTGTGTATGTCAATGAATATTTAAGACTCGTGCTTGTGTTTAATTAAGACCCAGGAGGAGCAGACCACCTCCTCTAAGGGGAGCAGACAGAAACCGAAGGAAAAAGCGGATCAGGCCCGAGACACTCAGAAGGACAAACGTCGCATGGCCTTCAACAGGAAGGGCCTTTCTGGGGGAACAGCCGGAGTCATTGCCCCCTTGTCGGACATGGACCAGAACAACTTCGCTGGGCAGCTCTCCCAGGAGAAGTTCATCAGGTGGGCCTCCGAGCCACCCAGGGAAGGGAACACGGGGCCCTGAATGGAGGGCGTGGCCGTCACAGCGCCCGACGGAGCGGGGCTGTCCTGCCAGCAGACCCTCTGGGCGGCCAGGACTTCTCCCAGGCAGCAGTCCTGTCTGCTCTTGGCCCAAAGGAAGCCTTCTCTCCTTACAAGTCCTGTGGTCGTTTGCAGGCTGAATCATTTCCGGTGGATCGTGCCAGCCAACGGTGAGGTGACACTGCGAATACACTTCTCTTCCAATGAGCTCGGGAACTTTGACCAGACGTTTAACTTCGAGATCCTTGGAACTCACCGCCAGTACCAGCTCTATTGCCGAGGTGTCTGCAGTTACCCTTACATTTGCCAAGACCCAAAGTAAGTGTATTTTTACCTTAAAAGAGAAAGTTGATCAAATTGGAATGATACAGAGAAGCAGAGCCCTTGCATAAGGATGACACGCAGATTCCTGAAGCATCCCATATTTTTGCACACCAAGCCCCACAGGCTGCCGAGGCCGTACTGTGGGTATATCCAAGAAGAAATAAATCTGTAGGCCTTGTCTGTTGATAAATAGTATATACACCTAAAAGAGAGAGACACCGAATCAATAAATGAGTTGACAGAAACATTTCCGTTTGGCCCCATGGCACTTTGAGCAAGGTAGCTCTTACCGCTAACGTGGAACCAGGGGCAGCACCCCAGGCACTCTGGTCATTTTGGGCTTCAGTGTCCTGGACATAGACGAAGCCACAGGAATGGCATGGACCATCAAAGTGAGCTACAGGGAATGTTAGTAGGTGTGAAGGCAGGGGAAGCATCATCCTCTGGCAAGTTAGTTTGCTTATTTAACTATGAAGCAAATTTAAGCGGGTTTTATACGTACTGTCGGACTTTTTGTCCCGGAATATCACTAAATGTGTGACTCTCCACAGGCGGACATTTTTCTGAGCTCCCAAACACCACCACACCCCTTATCCACAACATAAAGTCACCTGGCTGAGCAAGCTAGTGGGACAAGCCCTCCAGGGGAGGAAGCCTTTTATAGCTTATCCACTGAGAGGAGCTTTTTTGCAGTTCTCACCAGGGGGGCCACATTGGACAAGGAACACCGAAGCTGGTTAATATCCACCAGAACTTGTTTTCTGTAGAGATTGTCAGTTTTTCTAGCTGGGCACACTAGCATGTGAAATCTAACTCCGCTCTACCATCAGCCCCTCATTATGAAAGACAACCTGGGAAACTTTTTCTCAAGTGCAAGCTCTCATCCCTGGGGGTGGTGGAAGGGAGGGAGCACGAATAAGGGCTCAACTGAGGTCCTCAGATTAAGAATCATTCTGTCCGCAGATACCTGGACCCTTTGCTAAACAGGGAGTGTTGGGCTCAGGTCAACATCAAATGGAGGCATTGACCTTGCATTCAGAGAGCCTCTCCTCTTCTCTTCCTCCCCTGTGTTCAGGGTGGTATTTACTCAGCGGAAGATGGACATAAAGCAAAATGAGGTCATCTTTAAGAAGTATGTTATGAGAATGGAGAAGTTTTACTTCGGGCCACTGCTTTGTGGAAAATCAAGAGATAAGTAAGTGTTCCGTTATTTCAAGGCAGATTTCAGACTCCCAGTTGGACTCATGAGTAGTACAGGCAGGGTTGCTTTGTGGACGTAGCTTTTACTACTGCTGCCTCAGTTAGCCCTGAACCACAGGAGAACTGGGTTCTTGTGCCCCAAGTTTCTGCTAAGCACCCAGATGAATGCAGATGCCATCTTCCCAGATGGAAAAGCCTGGAGGAGGACCAGGTTTTGGTGGGGGAAGAGTAGGATCAGGCATTTACTTTGGGATATGTTGTTTGAGATGCCTAGGAGGTATAGCTAGTAACCACGCAAAGCAAGGAATAAGCTCTGTGGTTTGGGTTCGCAGAGGACATCCATGGGGTTCAACCACATGGAGGTCCTAGGAGCCTTAACAAAGGTCCTTTTGGGGATTTCTGAGGACGAAGCCCAAGCAAAGTGAGTTGAGGAGTCAGTGAGAGGTGAGTGAATGGAGAAGGGGTGTAAAGGTAGTTCTTTGGAAAACTTGGCAGTGAAGAGAAATGGAGGCAGTCAAGGATGGGAGGAGACATGGAGTCCAGGGAACACTGCTCACACAGTGTTGTTCTTATGCTGTTTGGATGCCAAGGGGACACAGGGAGGAAGAGGTTGGAGTTTCCAGAGGAAGTGAGGACCATCGGTGATACAGCTCCCTGAGACAACACAAATGGGATACAGAGATGCTGTTCTTGCCAGGAAGAGGGGCCATCATTGCCCACTAGGAGGAAGTAAGGCAGATGGCTTCAGGTGCAGATGTGGTTGGGCCTGTGAGAAGGTCCCCATGATGCATGTTGTGAGGTCACCCCTAACAGGGAGGGAAGCGAAGGGAAGATAAAGATGTTGAGAAAATAGAGAGCAGATGAAACAGTTTTTGTGGAAAGTTGGAGTGGGAGAATATTAGAGAAACAGGTGAAGGTTGTCAGGCAGAATTCGGGGTCCTGGGTGAGGCTGACAGTCATGTTTTTAGTGATACCAGTTTTTTTGGTTATATACAGACTTCTCACTGTGTAGGCAGGGAGGCGAGACCAAAACTAGATCTAGCTCTAAGCATGTCTTAATTTAGTCTAGCATTTATTGTGACAAGTGTTTGTGTTCATGCGGACTTGGTAGACCTAGCAAACCCTCTTTGTTCTCCAGTCTCTTAATAACTGGAGTTTATTTCCTGAGAGGCTGGACCAGAAAACCAAGATGCAGAGGGTTGGCTGATGCTGGAGTGGATCTTCGACTAGAAGGGTCCCAGTAAACGGGCTTCGGAGAGAGAAGGAGGGGGGTCAGGTTCGTGGACACGATGGAGGGGAGTCATGGCCATTAAGAGAGGCATGTGTCCTGGCAGCACTGGAACCAACCAGAACTTGGGGCCAGACAGCACTGGTCCAGGAGGAGAAGGATTACGGTGGCCCAAAAACAAGGCCCAGTACAACTGGGTATTATTTATTTATTTTCTCAAACCTTGCTGAGCCTCAATGTTCTCATCTGCAAAGTGGGAAAATAATAGCACCCACCCACGGATTTGTGAAACTGAACTGGATAATGAGTTCTTAGCCCATGAGACTTAGCGCAGTGCTGCCTAATGGTGATGACCAGTTCGATATGGAGGCCACTACCCCTTTGGTCGTGACACAGAGAGCACTCTGCCATTTGCTCTCCTTCCTTCCTCCATCACCACCTATCCAAAAAGCTTTTCAGACTGTTCCTGGGCTCCAGTGGGTACTATGGTGCCTTTGCTCTGATCTCTGATGACGTGCATCTCCATTGGCATTCCTTGTACCTTCTATGGCTCCTTTTCTGTTCTTTACCCTTAACTGAGCAGCTTCTGATGCCCACAGTGCTCACCTCTGTGACTCTTTCCCTAAGGCACAGAGGAACAGAAACAGGCTTATAACAGTGAACCACGCCAAATGAATCCACGTCAGAATAGTGACGTCTTGTAGAGGTCTAAGAGAAGGAGGTAAATGTGATCATCTCTAAGGCATATGTGAAATAACAAGTTGCTCTCAAAGGATTATATCTCCTGGGAATATAAGACCTGGGAAGGATAGAGCCTCATGTTTCTCAGAATCCTTTGCAATAATGGGGCACCTGTCTGGCTCAGTTGGTAGAGCATGCGACTCTTGATCTTGGGGTCATGAGTTCGAGCCCCACGTTGGGCATAGAGATTATGTAAATAAATAAAGAAAGAAACAAACTTAAAAAAAAAGAATTCTTTGCAATAATAGCTAGCATTTATTGGGCATTCGATACCTATAGCTGTCCTAAAGAGCATTAGGTGCACCATTGCATTAAATACTCATAGAAATCCTAAGAAGTATTTTCGTGCATCTTAGAGCTGAGGAGACCAAGGCTTGTGGTGCAGGGGGGGCTCAAGTCCAGCCGCAAGTCTTCGTAACTGCAAAGCTTGTGTTCTTAGCTGCCAGGCCACTGCCTCAGTGTACAGCACTACCCCCTGGCATTGCTGTATGCCCCACAGTCTCCTTTGCCACCTGAACTCCCAGTCAATCCTTACATCCACACCCCTAATCTTTGTTCACTTCCAGGTACAAGTCCTCCTTGTTCCCAGGCAACATGGAGACACTGACCATCCTGAACAATTCCCCAATGGTTGTGGAGGCGTTCTTCTGTTTTCAGAATGATGTCAAAGCAAGCACCTATTTCCTGGAGCCCGTCAACATGACTCTAAAACCCAGTGAGAAGCAGGTACAGTTGCATGGAAACAAGTCCTCCAGGGCAAGTCTTTCTTGGGAATTTGGAGGTCTCGGCATTCTCAGCATCAATATACTGTTTTGACGCTTCCTTTAGGTGCTGAATGTATGGGCCTACCCTACCGCAGTTGGTGTCTTTGATGACTGCATTGTCTGCTGCATCAAGGAGAACCCAGAGCCAGCTGTCTTCAAGTTAACCTGCCAAGGTGTCCGCCCAGAACTAGAGCTGGACTCCAGACAATTGCATTTTGACCGGCTCTTGTTGCACAGGTCAGAGTTCTGGATGGTACCAGGACCCTAATGGGGTTTAAAGAATATTAAGTTCTAGGGTGGCCAACTCATCCTGATTTTCTCAGGCCTCTCCTCATTTTAGCACTGAAAGTCCTGCATCCAGGGAAACTTCTGGCCCTGTGCAAACCCAGATGATTAGTAACCCTATGAAGTTCACACATGGGGTCCAGGACCGACCCCCTCCAAAAAAAATCAACTGCCAAAGTGTGTGCATATTTGTATTTTTCTCAGGACGACTCACTTTTTCCAAATTCTCTAAGCAGTCCATTATCCTCAGAGGTTAAGAATCTTTGGTTTAGAAATTAAAGCACAGAGAACACTAGACCAAAACTGGAACTTGACATTTCACTCGCTGGCAGTTTATTATTCTAAATAGAGAGTGTTTATTTTTGGGGCTACTGAGAGAGAATATTATGATACGTACCCTGCATTTCTTGATCATTACTGCCAGGCCCCATTCCCTGATAAACTCTGCTTAGTGAGCTAAACAATGATTGAAATAACCAGAAATGCTTTTTCGGACCTGCCGTAATAGATCAGAATCATTTGAAACTGACAAAATTTCTTTTGGTCTCCACAGAAAAGACTCCAAGGTAGTTCTTCTCCGCAACGTCACGCCCCTGCCCGTGGCCTGGCGGATCACCAGCCTGGAGCACCTGGGCGATGACTTCACCGTGTCCACCATGCAGGGGACCATCCCCCCCAAGGCTGAATACAGCCTGCAAGTTCACTTCCAGCCCTCCAAACCTGTCAACATCAAGAAGGTGATCCGGTTGGAGGTGAGGCTTCACACATCTCCAGACTTGGTCATCAAGATGTGTACATGTTGGGTTCTCTCTCTCTCTCTCTCACACACACACACACACACACAGAGCCATGTCTCCATGTTACACGCTCCTAACTGATCCCTGTTTGACAACTGCTGACCCACAGCATCTTGCTCGGCACACAACTGTAAGCTCCATCAAGGCAGTCTTGTTTATGGCTGATTGCCCGGTGCCACAAACAGAGCGCTCACTCAGAGTGAGTGAGGGAGGGAGTGAATGCTGTTACCATCCCGATGGAAGCCTGAGACTCCCGATTCCACACTCCCAAACCCGGTCACAGCTCAGATGCCTATCTCAGTAACATCACCTTCTGCCCAGGTGCTTCCAGCAGACACCTAAGAACCGTCTTGGATTCCCTCCTTCCCCTGACAGCCTGCCCTCCAGCCCAGGGCTCCCACTGTCTCCCAGTGTATCTCCCGCCCACCCACTCCTCTGCCCACACTGCTGCCACAACCCTTTCCCAGGCCGCCTGTGGCATCTCTTGCCTGGACTTCAGCAGAGGCCCTGTTCCTGCTCCAGGTCAGTCAGGTCAGGCCCCTCTCCTCCCTGCAGCAAACTGCTGGTTCCAGCTGCAGTGAGGATCAAGCCCAGGGTCCCCACCGGCTTCTCAGGCCCGTCCTGCCTCGGTATCTACCCTAGCTCTCACACATCGACTCTTGGCTTTTTCCTGCCTCAGGCCCTTGGCCTTGCAGCAACCCTGCCAAGAATGTTGCCCCCAGGCTCTGTGGGGTCCACTAAACAGCACTGCTCCAACTGGGTTCCCCTAATCACCGGGTAGAAGTAATCCCGTTATGTGCAATCACTCACCCTGCCTTCTGTATCTCTCAGAGCGCCTCCCCCTGGTGGATATCCTGTTTGTTTCTTTACTTTATCCTGTGAACTCCATCAAGGCAAGGTCTTGCCTGACTTGCTCATCATCTGTGTTCATTCCCGAGAGCTGATGTAATAAATGCCCACAAACTAAGTGGCTTAAAACAACACACATTTATTCTCTTACAATTCTGGAAGCCAGAAGTCTGAAATTAAGGTGTCTGCAGGGTCACAGTCCCTCTGAAGCCTCTAGGGAAAAATCCTTCCTCGCTTCTTCCAGCTTCTGGAAGTTCCTGGGCTCATGGCTGCGTCACTCCGATCTCTGCCTCTGTCTTCACATGGCCTTCTTTGCCTGTGTCTTCTCCTCTTCTGTCTCTTGTAAGGACATTTGTCATTGGGTTTAGGGCCAACCCAGATAAACCAGGATGATCTCATCTCGAGATCTTTAACTTAATTACCTCTGCAAAAACTGTTTCCAAGTAAAGTCGCATTCACAGGTTCCAGGGGTTAAGACATGGCCACCAGCCAGTCCACTACCCCATCATATCCCCAATGTCTAGCACAGGCCCGAACGTAGAAGGTACTCAGTAGAATGTGTAAAATGAACAAATGAATGAATGAATGTCATTGATTTTTTTTTTTTAAGATTTTATTTATTTATTTGACAGAGAGATAGAGAGACAGCACAAGTAGGCAGAGTGGCAGGCAGAGGGAGAGGGAGAAGCAGGCTTCCCGCTGAGCGGGGAGCCCGATGCGGGGCTCGATCCCAGGATCCTGGGATCATGACCCGAGCCGAAGGCAAACGCTTAGCCGACTGAGCCACCCAGGCGCCCCGAATGTCATTGATTTTTGATGCTTGCATTGATTCTGCAACAATCAAGGGATTATCCAAGCTTCTCTTTGAATAGCTGCAGGGATAGAAAACTTACCCATACTCAAAGTAGTCTGATCTACCTTTGAGCAGGTCTGACTATTGATTCTTCCTTGGGTTGGGTTCAGATTTCCAACTGTAACTTATAGGAATTAATTCTGTTTCTACTTTTGGGTCCACTCAATGGATCCAATCTCTCTTATCATTATGACGTCCTTAAGGTAGCTGAACACAGATACTGACAGGTTCATTTAATCAGCAATTGTTTTTGAATATCAGAGGGTGATAGTCAACGTTTTAAACATCAGTCTCTACACAGACACGGGTCTCTGCACAATGAACGCAGGCCACATGGCTGGTGTGGGGTCCCAGCTGTGTCAGCTTCATCCTTCTTTTGCTGGATCATGGGGCCTTCACAGGTTCCCATGGTAGGAGTGGTGGGGGAGGCAGGCAAGAGGGGATTCTTGGAGAGGTCATGTGACAGCTGTTTACCAATTGGTCTGGAAACATTTCTTTATTTTAGGGATGATGTGGCATCCCTGTGTGTTCCAGTCAAAGCAGACACAGTGGGTTTCCCCTCAGGCTCCTCAAAGTGGTCTAAGGCTTCTCTTCCCCAGATTATATTCCTTCAACATCTACATGAGGAAGTGCCTTGCTTTCTGGTCCCTTTGGAAAGTGCTCTGGTGCACTCATTTTATTTGTGTACCTCTTAAATTGTTCGTTCTATTTCCCCCAATTACAAAATTTAATCTCCACCCCCACTCCAATAAGAAAACAAAGGAAATAGAGAGCTCTGGGTACACGCTGTCTATCAGGAGAAAAACACTGTGTAAATTCTGGAGCTGATAATCCAAATTCTTTGTCATGTTTTTCCCTCCTGCTGTCAGTCCTTCTTGTCATCTCTGTCAGAGGCTGAGCAGCAAAAGAAGGTAAAACTGAAGTGGGTCCAGTTTGCTCTGTGAAACATTGGCAAAATGGGTGATGAAAGAAAAGATGGAAATTCTGAATTAAAACTTGAGTTTGGTGACAGCTACAAATTTCCCACTTGACACCAAAGCACAAATCATGGGAAGCTGGTGATTTTATTTCTCAACTTGAGACATCAACAGAGAGGCAGGGATGTCCAGGAGAGCCACCCCACTGCCAACAGCTCTTCCCCTTGATGAATGGACCCTTTATCACCCCCTTGTTTGTCTCAAGAGTTAAAAGTTGGGTCCAGCTGACGCTGACACCAGTTCAGGTGCTCCTCAGGACAGGAAGGAAGGGAGGGGACATTGAGCAACTGGGGGACAGGTGCAGGCTTGCTTTTTTTTTACATTTCCAACTTGAATAGCGAAGGTGTCCACTTAAATAAAACATGTGAAATTTCCTGGAGAGAAACACTGAACACTTACATTCTATGAAAATCTAGCACTTTTTCTACAGGTTGAACCAGAAACAAAGAACAGAAGAATTCAGATTTATAAAATTAGTAAAGCAAGGATGATTTACAGTGTGCAGGTTTTCCATTTCACCTCTCAGAAAAATGCTCTTCAGGTTTATTTTATTTAAAAGTCCCAAAGAACACTTTTCTGCAATGTATACTCATAGCCCCAACTTCAATAATGCAGTGAAAATCACGCAAATAATTTAAACCTCATAAGTGGACAAGATGAAAAATGCAGTCCCTTTTCCCCATTCTTATATTGATTGTCCACACTGGCATTTCCCAAAGAGTGTTATGAGAACACTAATCATACCAAATGCTCAGTGAAGACAAAAGCTAAATACGCTTTTAAGACATTCTCTACCATATCTCCTCCTTCATCATTCCAGCTGCGTGGTACATAGTTCAAGCTCCAAGCCCCCTGTGGATCTTTCTTTTACTGAAGAGTCCCTTTTACCCTAACAGGTTCTGGATGCAGACAATCTCATTGGTGTTGTTCAGATTGAAAACATCTTGGTCTTTGCAGAGTCTTACGACGTCGCCTTGGACATCACCTTCCCCAAAGGTCTGTTGACCCCTTCAAGGAATGGGTGTTTAGAAGTCACATCTTTTAGTGCAATGTATTTCTTATGTTGAGGAAGACTAGTGGTTGTTGGGGAGGGCGTGGAATTTCATCAAATAGTAATGCAAGTCCCAGAGTAATGTCGGCAACATGACTACGAATCTTAATTTTCTCCAACGGGAGATGACAGGGGGCGGCCCTGTTGGCAGAGCTCTTTTCTGAACAGCCATCCAAGAATAAGTACCTATCTCCCTACCTGCATTAGTCTTCCATCACTGCTGTAACAAATTACCACAAACTGTGTGGCTTAAAACAATACAAATTTATCATCTTACAGTTCTGTACGTCAGAAGTCCAAAACTGATCTAACTGGGCTAACATCAAGGTGTCCGCAGAGCCACATTCCTTCCTGGAGGCTCTGGGGGAGAATCCATTTCCTCGCCTTTTCTAGCTTCTAGAAGCTACCTGCATCCTTGGCTCATGATCCTTTTTCCTCCATCTTCAAAGCCAGCGACACTGGGTCAGATCCTTCTCACGCCACCATCTCTCTGGTTCTCCCACTTCTGTCTCCCTCTTCTACTTGTGTTGTGATTACATTGGGCCCACCCACAGAATCCAGGATAATCTTTCTATTTTAAAGTCAAATGACAGATAGATAGATAGATAGATAGATAGATAGATAGATAGATAGGGTCAGCTGATTAGCAACCTTAGCTCCATCCATCATCCCCCTTTACCATGTGACCTACCATATTCACAGGTTCCAGGGATTAGGACACAGACAACTTCTGGGGGCACAGGGCATTATTCTTTCTGCCCACCACACTGCCCTCACAGCCAGGTTAGATCCCTCCCTTTTAGCATGCAGTTCTTTGTTACTCTTCCTTCTTCTGATTGCTCTCCTTCTCAGCAAGATTCAGAGAAGATGAGAGCTGCCTGTTTGCTTATATGTCATGAGTCTTATGTACAAAGATATTTATTGCAGCATTATTTGTAATAATGGAAGATTGAAAATAACCTAAATACCTATCAAGAATGGAACACTATTACCATAGAAATAATATTATAAATTATAGAACAGTATATCATGGTATATTATATAACCATTAAGATCACATTTATAAGGAGTTTTTTTTTAATTTTTTATTGTTATGTTAATCACCACACATTACATCATTAGTTTTTGATGTAGTGTTCCGTGATTCATTGTTTGTGCATAACACCCAGTGCTCCATGCAGAACGTGCCCTCTTTAATATCCATCACCAGGCTAGCCCATCCTCCCACGCCCCTCCCCTCTAGAACCCTCAGTTTGTTTTTCAG